CACCGAGTGAATATCCGACCAGCGTCACGGGTCTTTCTCCCTGGACCTTGGCGATGAGAGCGTCAGCAAGCACGCGGCCAGCCTTGTCTGAACGGTTGCGGGCCAAATTAAAGGGGTTGTCAATCTTGGAAGCGGCGCTGATGAGATAGGCAGGCCACAGAGCGGCCCAGAGGGAAGCCAAGACGGTGCGCTTGAGGATCTCAATCTTGACATAGTTCCAAGCGTACGACGAGACAAGACCCTCGAGCTCGGCGCCGAGGGCGAGGAGCGACTTCATCTCGTAGCGCAAGGCAAAGACCTCAGACTCGTCGCCCAAGCTGCGCCACGGCTTCGTCACGTCGCCTTCGTCGTTGAGCCAGCCATTGATGCCAATCGTCACGCGCAGGCGGGCATTCTGCTTCCCATCGGGGTCAGCGCGTTTATAGTCCTTGCCCCATTCGTCCTTGAGCGGGAGGAAACGGAAATCCTCAACCTCCTTGGCGTAGGTGTCCATCATCTCGCCCGTCATCTTGGCCCCGAAGGCACCGAATAGAGTCCCGACAAGGGCACCATTCATCCAAAAGATTCCGAGAAAGCTCGCCACACCTCCGAGTCCGACACTTCCCATGATGCCGCCGATTGCGCCGGCGACCACCGGCGCCGCGAGACCACCCGTGATACCGATGACTGCGGCCCCCGCCACGGAAGCCAGACCGACTTTCCAGAAGCGGCTCTTCTGGTTCTCCTGCCGTCGCTTTGCGGCCTCGGCCTCGGCGGACATGCTGGCCTTTTGACCCTCGGAAGAAGTCGCGGATTCAACCAGAGACTTTGCGATTTCCGTCTCCTCAGCGATGAGGGCTGAGAGCGGCAGACCGAACGCAGACGTGAGGTAAAGGGCCAAGACTCTAGAGTGTGCTGAGTAGATACCAGTAGACAAGACGAGGACCAGGAGGCAGCTCAGCACCTCTTTCCTATCATTCGCTGGAATCGTAGTAAATCGGCTCGGGATGGGATGATAATGCTCCTGCAGTGCAGCAACCTCCTCATCGGCCTTGTTCGCCGCCGACGAAGAAGAAGGCTGAGTGGCATCTCCAAAGTTGATCAAATCCTCACCGACACCGGGAGACTCGGCTTGCAGCTTCTCTTGCTCGTCCAAGCGCTTCTTCCTGGCTTCGAGGATCTTATCATCGTCCCTAACCGAGACAATTTCCTTGACCTTTTCCAGAACCTCCTTCCGCCACCCGTCAAAGTGCTTCAGCGCCGCCCTCCTCAGAGCCCGCAGCTGAGCGCTGTGCACGCCGGAACCGCCGCGGTCCGGGTGACTAGGGCTGCTGCTACGTCCGCTGCCGCTCTGGCTGGCATCCGGGACGAAGAGCGGGGCGTTCCTGTCCTGGAGTGACGGCGAGGCCGGATTGCCGCCCGAGTCAGCTGTTTGGTCGCCGTCTTTGAGCTCGAGCTGCGAGCGCATGTAGCCCGTGATGTCGAAGAGGAGGGTGTAGAACGCTTTGCGGCGGGCCGGGTTGAGCACCACCACGAGCTGGCGGGGGTCTGCGGCCAGGGGAGCCATGATTGCGGAATGGCTCACCGCATCCAATGAGAGACTTGTGAATGCGGGTGACCGGATTAGAGAGATGGTCTGGGATCAAATCACAATTTGGAGAGAAGTATTGAGTCGGGTTGAGAGGCGGAAAAGATGTAAAACCAAGGACACGTATGAAGAGATGTAGTTGATGTAGTTGAAGTTACTCGAAGTGAGCCGAGGGTGTGAATTAGGTGTTGATCTGGAGTTAGGCAGACGTTTACTGGAAAGATCAACAGGGACTGTCAGCAGCCTGTGTCGCCGCACAGAGATTCCCTACAGACAATGCATCCTACCGAAGTTTAGGTGTTGATGTAAGCCCCCAATCCTTCCCCAGCAAAGGGCGGTCTCAGTATTCGGTCCGTGCTAATTCTCCAGTCTCCATCCTTGCATGTTCCATGTGTAAATGCCCCGGGGTGTATATTTCGTCTGGAAACGGCTCGTAAGCAAGCACTTCTCTCAGCCTGATCCTGCGATGGCCAAGGATGTGAGACATGATCATATACAGTAAAAATACGTATGAGACGCAGTGGTGCAATGAGGACGCTAGATTTGAGGGCTACAAGCCTCCGGGATTATTTGCAAATGCCTCCATGATATAACCTAACACCAGCGTATCTGGATTACGCCGTAAAAACACTTCTGTATCTCAAATCTTCCTCGATAGCCGCATCTCTACTCATCGTCCTCCATATCGTCGTCTTCATCTTCCTCCTCCTCATCCTCGTCAACCTCATCGTCATCCTCAGCCTTGTCGTCCATCAACTCGTCAGCATATTCCTCCTCAGAGTCGTCGTCCGCGGCGTTCTCTGCGAGCGCATCCTTCTCCTCCTCCTTGCGCTTCTTCTCGTCCTCTTTCCTCGCGTCCTCGAGCGCCTTGGCCTTCTGTTCTCTAATCTTGCGCTGCACGACAACGTACGCGCCGAGCGGCGTCTTCTCCCACTCGAAATCGCGCAGGAAGGCATCCACCTGCGCGCGATCCTTGGGCGCGAACTCCACCTTGGCACGCTTCTCCTCGATGAACTTGGCGTTGGTCTCGAGCTTCTGTACCAGCAGCACGATCTGCGAGATGACCTTGTTGTTCTTGTTACCGGTCTTGATCTTGCGCGCTCCCTTGAGCCAGCGCTTCAGCTGGATAAGGACCGGCAGGGTGAACTCGGGGAAGGCAATGTTCTTGCACCAGATGGTGAAGTACTCGCTGAAGAGCTCGACGACCTGCTCGGCGACGCCGTCCTGGTAGACGCGGGTGCGGAGATACGACTTGGGCGCCTTGTAGGCAACGTGGAAGTCGAGGGGCTTGATGGACGAGGCCTTCGGGAACCGTCTCATGTCGGCGGACTCAAGAACCTCAATCAGAGCTGAGGCGAGGGGAATGTAGGTGTTGGTTGCGCGGGAGAGACGGAGGATGGAGCGGATCAAGTGGAAACGCAGGGGGAAGAACGTCGGCGAGGGGATGAGACGCATCGCTCCCAGAGTAACTTGCACAAGGGGGTAGATCAGGAGCTTGAGCTGACCCTCCTTGCCAGTCTCCGCCTCCTTGAGGGGGCTGCAGTGCTCCGAGAGCACGCATGACCAGAAGTCGAGCGAGTGGGTGTATTGCCAGTTGTAGATGATCTTGTGGGCGTCCTTCTCCTTCTTGACAATGCTATTTCTGAGGTGGATGGCGAGTTGGCGGATGAAGGTGAAGGCAGTCGTGTAACCGACGTTTTGGTCGATGCCCCAAAGCTCAGCAGCGGAGTTCTTCAACAAGTTGATGCCCTGGATGGTGTTGGCGTTTGTTGTCCTGCAACCGGAGACGAGTCCCTGGTACACCGTCTTGAGCACGGTCTCGCGAAGGCCCTTGTCACCGATGACAACCATTTTCCGCAGGACAAGGAAAGAGGTGATCTTTGTTGTTTCTGAGCTGGCCGGTCTGGCCCAGTAGTTGACAACAGTCTTGATAAGAGCCTTGAGAAGCTTGCGGAAGGACATGAGGTAGGGAACGAGAGGCTCTAATGAGCCGATGGTGAGCTTAAGAGTAGCATCGTCGGACAGTGTGCCGAGAAGATGGATGATGGACGCAGTGAAGGTCTTGATCATGATGGACAGGGTGTGGAACTTCTTCGAGTCGGTAGGCACGTAGATCTTGCCAGACGCAGACTCCTTGATGGGCAAGTGGTGTGAGATGATCTCAGGTATTTGCTTCAAGGCAACGATCAAGATGTCGTGGAAGACCTCGGGGCTGGAGACGGTGTATCTCTGCGGGGTCGAGTCGTCGGCATCGTCCTCGTTGAGATGCGCGGCGCAGCGGAAAGCCAGGACAACCTGACGGGCAGCACGCAAGCTCTGCTTCTCCGCGAGAAGCTTCTTCCACTTGCCCACCATCTCGCGCGTGAGCTCATTATCCGCGGCGACCACCTCCTCGACCTCGGCCTTCTTGGAAGCCTTCTTGCGCTTCTTCTTCGGTTGTTCCTCCTCTTCCTCCTCGTCGGACTGGTCGCTGCCGGCGCTGAGCTCGTCCACTTCAGCGAGGTCGGCATTCTCGTCAAAGTCGAGGGCTTCCGGGTCGTTGTCCTTGAGGAACTTGTAGAATTCGGGGTCGTTTTGAGCGAGCTTGTCCATGGCCTCCTTGGTCATGCCGAGGTTCTCGTCGTCGTCGTCGTCACCCTCGCCGTCTTCGCTATCGCTTCCAATGGGCTCCTCCTCGACGGAGAATTCCGACCCGCTGCCCTCTTCAGAGTCTTCTTCCTCGGCCTTCTTGGCGGGCGCATCGCGCTTCCGCTTGCCGAGCTTCTTTGTCGCATTCTTGTCGATGATATCCTCGAAGCCGCCCTGGAAGAAGTCGTCCACACTCATGGCGCTGACCTTGGTATCCTTCTTGTGGCCATTGGCCTTTGCCTTGGCGGCGGCCTCGTCATTCTTGAAGAATTCGGAATCCTTGGTCTTCTTGGTCGCCTTCTTGGCCTTGACCTGGTGGCGCTGCTTGATCTTTGCCGTCTCCTTCCTCTTATCCAAAACGCCCTTGAGCTTGGTCTTTTCAAACTTCTTGGTCGCCTTGAGGTTCTTCTTCTGGGAACCCATGATGAAGTATGGAGCCGGGGGGGTATTCGGTCCTGTGTTGGGGGGGTAAAAAAAGAAGTTTTGGCTGCAGGGACTATGGGAAGTGGACGCGGGAACTTCGAGACTTTCTCAATGGCAGCAATTGCACGGCGCCCGTCCAAATTTTTTCTGAACGCTTATCTTATCAGAAAAGCACGCTAAGCCCCCTTTGGCGCTGGTCCTCGAAGGTTTGCCCCACGTTGTACCTTGGGCGTGGGAACCACCACACCCATGTCTTACGTCCTTGGCTGTGGCTCTGCTACACACCTGTTTGCACCAGCATTTACTTCCTGAGAGCTCGACGACAGCTCAAAAGCTATCTGACGACCATGAAGTCGACCACGATCCAAATACAGCTGCAAAGATGATGCCCCGGCAACCCTATGCGCCGACACCGCATAGCTATATCCCGAATACCACATTATCGGCAACCATCAATCTCGATGAGGCAAGTCGATTCGAATGTTCACTCGCCGTCACCCATCCCCTCCAACAACTGCCCCGCCCCCGCAGGCAACATCTAGCTAACATGACGATGCGTCACAACAGGAGGTGAAGCTAGCCGACACCCGCGCCGAGCGCGATCTGCAAGACTCGCTCGCCGAGATCTTCAGCATCATCGTAACCCTCGACGAGCTCGAGAAGGCTTTCCTGAAAGATGCGATCCCCGAGGCCGATTACACCGAGATTTGCGAGCGCTCCCTGAAGCAATACAAGTCCATTTTGGCAGACGAAACAGTAGCAAAGGCCTTTAGGGGCCTGGAGGAGTTCAAGGCGGAATGGGATGTTCGTATATCCTTTCTCTCTACTAGCCACCATAGTACACCTTGCTGACCCTGTTGCCCACCCTAACAACAGCTCGAAGTCCCCCGCGCAACAGAGCGCATCCGCGTCGGCATGCCCTCGACGACCGTGACAGCCTCATCAAGCGCCGCCCCGGCCCCCGCAGCCGCCGGCAACACGAGCGGCACGCTCATCCTGGAAGCGACGCAGGAGTTCATCACCTTCCTCGACGCCGTCAAGCTGGGCCTGCTCTCCAAGGACCAGCTGCACCCCTTGCTGTCCGACGTCATCCAGTCCGTCAACAAGGTCACGGATCGCGACTTTGACAACAGGGGCAAGATTGTGCAGTGGCTCATCACGTTGAATCAGATGAAGGCCACGGACGAGCTGAGCGAGCAGCAGGCCCGCGAGCTTGAGATGGACATCCAGCAGGCTTACCAGGGGTTCAAGAGCACTCTCACGTAAAAAGGGGGGAAGATGACAAAAGAAGGGGAAGGATGTGTTGAGAGGAACTTTCTGTTTTTCTCTGTGGATAGATACCAATGCAGAGCGAAACCCACCAGCTCTTGATTTTTGACCAGCCATTCTACTTTTTCCCCTATTTGCCTGTGAAGACTGCATGTCATACCTCGTGAAGAACGCCAGGTCAATCAACCATCCCGTCCCGTTCGTCATCTCCCTAGACCAAAAACGTCCAGAAGCTGGGATACACAAACTCATTCTCAAATATTCTCCTCACCTGCTCCAACACAAACCTCTCCACCTTGCCCACATTCTTCAAGCTCTGCTTCCCTCCGTCCCGCAGACCAATCTCGCTCTCAACCTGTATCTCCTGCAGCAGCCCGCCAAACCTCTTACCAGGCTCGCTAGGGCCCGCATCATCCGCGCCCACGGCCGTGACCGCGTCCTCGGGGCTCAAGAAGCAAAACTGCACCCTCTTGCGGATATGCGCCATCACGCCCACGCCATCAAACGTCAGGCCCGTGACGCTCAGCTGCACGGGGATCCCTACGAAGCTCGGCATCGGGTAGTCGAGCAAAATCTCCGCCGTCAGCCGAAGCCTCACGTCGCCGGCGTACCGTATGCGGAACACGGCCTGCAGGTCCTCGGGCCTCGGCTCCCGAAACCGCGGCGCGTTGCCGTTGTGATTGTTGCTGCCGTCGTCGCCCTCTTCCTCTTCTGGGAGAACCTCCTCGTCTTCCTCCTGGATCGCCGATCCCGCGAGATGCGTGTCCCGCGTCGGCGGCCTCGACGCCCCCGCCGACGTGGGCGCCAACGTCGACACGCTCGACTTCTCCCTCAGCTGCGCCAGCGCCGGGTTGAAGTCGCTCACGGAGATGGAGCTCTGCGAGGGGTTCCGGCTGTGACTCGGCGAGAAGCCGTTCGCCGGCGGCGAGCCGACGGGGGATAGCACGGCCGAGGTGTCTAGCCTGTTACCCATGTGCGCGCCCGCCACCGCGGCGAGGGGCGTCTGCGTGCCCGACCACCCAGTCCCGAGATGCGACTGGAAATAATGCAGATTCGACGTCCCACCGAGAATCCCCGGCGTCGAAACACCCAAAAACGGACTGGGGAAATCCCCCGACTGGCCCCGGAGCGCATGCGTGCTCAGCCGTGGCGGCATCGACGCCTCCTCCCTCTGCCTCCTCCTCTCGCCGGCGCTCAGCTGACTCCGGGGCCCATGCTGCTGCTGCTGTGCCTGCTCCTCGAGGATAGCCTGCTCCTCTTCCTCGTCGTCCTCAATGTCGGAGTTCTCCTCGTAGAACTCTGGCAGCGGGTCGGTGATGTCTTTGAGTTCTAGTTCCGGGGCGATGGTGCCGAATTCAAAGTCGTGTACTTTGACGGACTTTATGAAGCGCGGCAGAGGCACGGCCTGAAATTTGGTGTGAATGAAGTCACGGATGCGGAGGGCCAGAGCCTCTCCGTCCGGGCCCGTCGTGAGCGTTTCCCAGTTGAGGTCTATTGACATTAGAGCTTTTGTTTTGTGTGAGAGGAGGAAAGAGAAGTGAGTGCCGAGTTGTTGAATAATTGAGGTAGTGAACTCAGGTAAGGTGTGGTAGGCACTGTGCATACAGGGTCGACGATGGATACCTTACCCTTAGGTTGTTCAGTTTGCCCTGTGCTGCGACTCAGTGACTTCCAGGTTACGCTAGGCGGGGTGAGAACGGCAGCATTTGGCGCTAAATTGGCATTTCAGTGGACCGAGTTGCTCGTTTCCACAGGTTGAGCTCACGGACAGCACAAGGTGCTTATGGCCTCGCCATTACCTTTCACCACGCCTGCTCGATCATTATGGAGGGCTTCATTCGTCATTTATATGTCATTGGAGGGTATCTGAATTGTGAAGGCCGTGATTCATCAACGCCGTAATGCTACCTTGGGTTGTTTCTTTTGCGGACTCTAACAGTACCGTCCACTCCATCAGACTAGAATGCCTCCATACTCATCAATCCATCCATCCAGGTTAATAAAGGAAAACGCCAGCAATGCAATGCTCTTCTCGCTCTCAGTGCTATAGCAGTTCATGTAATTACAGTCCACGAGCCCGTAACAGACAATGTTCATGGGTAGCCAGGGCATTAATCGGCCTTGGCATCCGATTCGAATCGTGGCCTCATGGTGTTGTTGAGTTGAGGCACGCCGAATTGATGCCAGCAATTTGGCGCTTGGAGGATGTATCTGGACAGCCTATTAGCCAATGATCACAAAGAACATGTCGAAGGATATCCAGTGAACACATACCTTGCCATCGCCTCCCGGAAACGAGACTTGTATTCCTTCGGACTGGTCACTGTCGGGCGATTTCTGCCACCGCCAGCAAATCCTCGATCTTTGATCCAACTCTCGAGTTTCTTGTCCCACGTGTACGTCCGAATGCAGTCAATGATACCAACAACCAACTCCTTCTTAGCTTCGTCCACTGCGATCATCAACGAGTAGTCCATCACGTTCTGTCTTGCGAGGAACAGGGTGTCGTTCCAAACCTGAGCTTTTGTCAGTATCAAGCCTATAACGCCTTGTCTAGGCAACTTACGGATGCTCTCAGAAGCTTCTTGGAATGCTCGCGCGCGAATAAAGGAGACTCATAGATGAATTCAACCATGTTCTCGTCGAGGAGCACCTCGTTCTGCTCGCCTGTGGACTGGATCTTGCGATTGCGCATTGATCCTTTCAAGTCGAAAAGACGGGTCGGGCCACGGTCGTAAAAGAGGTTCTCCATCAGGAGAAGATCAAGCTTGATCTCGACGCCAGTGACTGGATTCTTGATAATGAGTTGGAAGAAACCCAGCATCTTGGCAATGACAGAGGGCAAATCATGGAATAGAGCCTCTGCCATGATGCCGAAGTAGGCTGGAGCGAATCGCAGGAAAGCCGACGTCTCAATCGGCGACAGGCCCTACTTGTACGTTAGCTCATGAGCTGCAGCATGGAAATCTAGATAATAGGGTGTCATCTTACCTTCAGAACCAATCGATCATCAAGGGTCTTGAGAAACACCGACTTTGTTTTCCCGCCCTTCGAGTCCCATTTCAAGCAGCGAGAAAGAGACTCGACAATGCGATCTGCAACACCGCACTTCCGGCGAAGCGCATCGAATTGCTCGGCATAGAAGATCTTGCAGAGCATTGTCGCGGAACCTTCCTTGAATTGGTACTTGAGATGAGTGCCCGTGGCCCTGAGCAGACTCTTCTCCAGGTCGCCCTCTTCCATCATGAATTCACCGCCAGTGTCAGACATACCCGAAGACTTGCCCTCAAGATTCGATGCCTCATAATCCTTTTGTATGGCCATCCGCTCTTGACGGCGAATATCAGCCAGCTTCGTGCGGTAGTCATCAGAGCTTAGGGCAAAAGCAATGACGGAGGAAGGCTCGTCCTCTCGTACAATCACGTCCGAGTCGAGGAAAATATGATCGCTGGCATTGACCGGGTAATCCAACTGAGGCCAGCCGCTCGCAGATCGCTCGGCCCAGAAGTTTGTGAGCATCTTCATCAAGCTAGTCTTTTGATGCTTGGGCAGTTCCAACGGAATCTCCGTGCTGGGCTCAAGAGAATCTGCAAGCTCCTTCACATCGGGCAGTAGGTCGCCTAATATGGATTCTTCGTTATCGCTTTGCCCCTCGTCATCGGATCCACCGTGACTGGCAGTTACTGTCGCAGTGTCATCAGTCTCTCCGCCGACATGGTGCTCTTCGGATGCGGCCGGAGCTTCTGTTGCGGGATGTGGTTCCCCCACGGGCGGCATTGTGTCAGGTTCCGTGCGCACAACACCTGGAGGTGCCGGGGTAACGGGCGCAGTCTTCGGCTCGAGAATCTTGATCTCGTTGTTTTGTTCCGTGTTTGACGGTCCGGCCTCCTGGACGGCATTGTCAATGTTGTGATAGACCTCCACAATGGCCTTGGTAGCCGAGCGTGGCAGTCCGGCACGAGGCTGGTGTTTCATAAGGCGCTTTCTGCGATCTTCCCTTTGCCTTTCCTTCTCGAATTCACGGCTCAGTTGTTCAAAGTGCTTGGCAATCCTAGATACCTGAGACGACACATGCGTATCCTTCTTCTTGGTGATCAGCCGAGGGATTGAGGAGGGACCGGCCTTTCTATGGCTCTTCATTCCCAACGCCATGAACGGTTTCTTTTCCACTTTGAAGGATGTCTCGCTGGAGTTTTCGCTGGGCCCTGCACTATCCTTTGGCAAGATTGACTTGGCAAAGCTTGGTTGGGATCTCGGTAGCGTTTGGGCGGGCTGAGATAGAGTTCTAATCATCGGAGCCCTGCGAGCCAAAGTTCGCTCCGGGTTTGTTTTCGGTGCCTCGGCGGGCTCGTTGGCTGGGGGCAACTCGTTACCCATGACCTGTTGCTCACGTCGAAGTTGCTCAACTTTCTCTGAAAGAGAAATTCCGGTCGAGGTCGTAGTCAGTGGCGGTCTGGCAGTTGGTGAAGTCGCCTCGATAGCACCCGAAACGCTCGAAAGTTCTCCAGCTTCGTCGATGGCAGCAAAGGAGAAAGGACTCTTCCCCTTCGGTGAGCTTGGGGTAGCCAAGTCCAGTGGCTCTACTCTCTCCAGGACGGACTCGGCCAGCGTACTGATTTTGCTGGTTTCCGAGGACTCAGGATTCTCGTCTCCGGCGGCAGGCTTGTCCTTGGCATCAGGTCCAGATTCTTGGTCTTGAGATGGCTCTGGCTCTGGAATGGGCTCCTTTTCCTTAAACTCCTCAGGCTCGTTCTCCGGCTCGCCTTCATTCTTGGTCGTCTCCGAGACACCTTCCTCACTAGGTTCAGTTGGGTCCGTTGGTTGAGTGGAAGACTTCTCATCAGCATCATCCGAGAAAGTTTGAGACGGCGGTTCCCCAGAGTCCACAGTGGAGTTTCCATCTGTGGAGGGAAGAGACTCTCTTGATTCGTTGTCTGAGAATATCTTCTTGAGCTGGAGCATCGTCAATTGTCGCAAATCTTTGTCCGGCAAGAAGTCGGTCTCGAATTTGGTGAAGGAAGCATCCCAATCTCCAGCCTTCTCCAGCATCTCTCTGACAATGGCATTGAACGGAATGACTTCGTAGTACTTGGAATTGACGTAAGTTTCCTGAAGTCTGCGGGTCAACGCGACTTGATCATCCTGCGCTTTCTTGGCAAGTCGGTCAACTTCAGTCTTACACGCATCGGCCTTTTCAGGTAGGACGCTATCGATGCGGATACTCTTGAGCCTGAACTTGACAGAGTTGATGAAGCGCGCCCATCGTTCTTCGATTTTGTTAAAAATCTCGTTCTTGAGCTTTAGGTCGTTTTCGACCTTCCACGTAATCCGAGCTCTGGGAACGACAATTTCGAGAAGATCGATGGGATCGTAATGAATCCTCACCCAGGTGTCGCGGTAATGGAAGTAACGGATGTGGTCGCGGTGATGGTCGTGCGGGCAGCCAGAGAACTCGTGGAGCCGCAGGCCCCTGCTCCAAAAGAGAAGCTCAAGGTACTTGCCAAAAGAGTATTTCCATGTGCTGTCAGACATCCCCATCTCAGGAGAATCCTTCTTGCATGTTTTGCAGTAGCTCCACATGGTTATGCCGTCCAAGTTGCGTCTTTTCGCCGCCGGCTCAACAAAGATAGTGACTCGCGACTCATCGTGGACGTAAGTGCGATGATGCGCCGTCATCTTCCGGTCACATCCATTGGCTGTGCATATCGAGTCCTTACTGATGCACAGGTCTTCAATGTACTGACCGAGAGTGCAGTCCGGATCCATGCTTCCGCTCTCGTCGACATGCTCATCGTAGAACGCAATCGCGATCAATCCAGGTTCCGAGCACGGAATTTTCGTCTCTGTACAAATGACTGAGTACAGAACGACAATGTTCTGGTGGGAATAGGGATCGAAAAGGTCGAGGTTGCCCTGGATGTAGTTTTCCCATTGCCGGGTCTGAAGCTGGTAGTTGTACAGCGCCTTGTCATATTCGGCATCGTGGACGGCGTGCAGGATTTCCATAACCTGGCGTGGCGCCTTCTGTCCAATAGCATGTACCATTTCAGGCTTGATGAGCTGGAACTTTTGCGACTTTGATTTTTCGGCATCAATCTGTTCTTCAACAACATCTTGATCTCTCAGGCGCTTCAAGTAGACCAATCTCCGTTCTTGCTCTCGCGCCTTCATGAGCAAGTAAGGCTGCGCAAACTTGACGAATGGAGAGGCCGACAGAATCTTGGTCTCGTATCTCGCAACCATATCGCTATAGTATGTTGGCATCGGCACGTCTTCTGGCACTTGAGACTCAGGAGACGTGGGTGGAACGTGAGAGGCATGAAGAGATACAAGCGGAGGTCGTTCTTCTGCAACAGGCTCTTCAGTCTGATCTGATGAAACGGTCCCCTCAGCAGTGACCAGCGACGTGCCGTCACTTGTTTGTGTAGGGAGTTCAGACTCAGGGGGCGAGGTCTTCAATATCTGTGGTCCCGTCTCTGCGAGTTCAGTTGATGCGCTGAGTGATTTAGGACCATCCTCAGGATTGTGGCGGAGAGATGATGACAGGGAGGACGATTCCTCGGGCTCTGCTGGTAGTTGGATGTACTCGTCTCTCATTAAGCACGTCTCCAGCTTCAAGTTGTAGACAACATAGACCATGAACTCTGTGATCTTCTTCATTTTCGAGAGGACTTCAGTTGAGTCGCCACGAAGAGCGATCGTACAACCAAGCTTCTCAGAACACCCTGAAAGGAAGATGTACGTCTTCTTCTTTCCGGGATAGTTTTTGTTGACATAGGTCTTGACTTCGAAGCCGCCAGATCTCCCTACCTGGACTTGTAAGGCCAGCATATCGAGAGAGGAGATGATGTCCGTTTCCGCACATCTTGATACGGCTTCGATAACAGATGGCTTGACGTTGTACGCGACAGCTATGCCCGCCTCAGAGAGATATTGTAACGCAACACCAGACACGGATTTTTCGCAAAGAAGTAATTGTGGGCGCAAATTGATAATGCGATTGACGACAATTCGTAAGAACTCTTTCTCCTGCTCGATGACTGGTTGCAGGCTCATGAAGTGTTGCTGGTGACGCTGGTACTCTATTGGGAAAGAGACAATGACGATACGAGGATTCAGAATGCGGCGTGGCATGCTCTTGAGAGCAAGGTTCTTTGTGAAAATGACACCTGAGGCGTAGCTCGTGTCACCCGGTTTTCCGCCTGGTATTTTCTTCAGCTTGACGTAATGGCGAATGTCCATGTCATCTCCCACTCTAATATCGGGGGTAACGTCGTCGGTGCACTGGAGCAAAATGGGGACTAGAGCCTTTTCCCACGCTGGCACATTGGGTATGCCGGAATCTTCGAGCAACTGATGTAAGAGTCTCTTGACGTGCAGCATGCTGGATGGATTGAGCTCCACCTGTGGCTGCTTGTCCGCTTGCATCGAATCGCTTCTAGTCAATTTCGTAGCTTCAATAGCAGGATTCTCAATGGTGAAAACATTCTCGTTGGATGCAGAGGGACCCTTGAAGATGCCAGATTTGGGGCGTGGGGACCTCATCTGATGGCTCACATTGCTGAGATTGCGTCTTCTCGCGGGGCGGCCATGGCCGATAAGACTTCCAGAGCCAGCATTGTCATCCATTCCGCGGCTTGTGAAGCTCAACCCGCTGACACTCTTCTCTCCTCTCCCAAGTCGGTGTCTCCTTCCCGTGCTCAAGAACGGTCCGAAACTTGACTTCTCATGGTCGTAGCTTGACGGTTGCAGATCGGCATTTGACATGGTGGCAAATATGCTCATCTGTTCGTCGCCGCTGGACTCGTCTGACATGTAGGCAGCCAGTTCAGGGTCGATAATATTGTCGTCATGGAAAGCCGGATATTTCGGTTTCTTCGCCATCTCCTCGGTGATTCCCTTGCGGAACGGGGCTCTATCGTCTGGCATTGGTTTGAACCTCGACATGAAATTGTTGTGATGCTTCGAATGGTGTCGTCTGTGACCTGACGATTGTGGCCGGTTTGCGGATGTTAGTGACCTCAGAGAACGTGAGGAACTCGGACGGCTGAGCTGCGGTGCATCTATTTCAAGAATGGCCGAGTTTCGGTTAGAGTCGTTGATCCTTCTGGTCGCGGGTATTGCCATCATGGGTGTCTGGACAGATCTTGCGTCGCCCAAGTCCTCCATGCGATCAGCAAAGCTCGGCTCTTCAACCTCGGCCTCTGCCTGCGTGACCTTGGGGGTCGCCTTAGTTTGACGGAAAAGGGCTGGCAAAAACGAGTCGTCCCCGGAGTCGTCAGAGCCGCTCCCTTCATATAGTCGCTGATTAATGACTTTTAGGCAAGTTTTGCAAACTCGAAGAGTCCCGGTCATTCCGAATTTTGAGGCTGGGATGATGGAAGTGCACTTGGAATCAAAGATACACCCGCAGGTTCGACAATGGTGCTTTCTCCTGAAGGCCGAGAACGGCTGACCGCATATAAAACATTCTTTGCACGTTTCATCGGCCATCCAGAATTCTTTACTCAGAACCTGACGCCGCATCCTATCAAGCCTAGCGTTGACTTGTTCAGGGGCACCTTCGTTGGTCGTTGTACCAGGAATGCGCAAAGCCCCCGTCCTCCCATGTATGGGCTGAGCGGCGTGGGCAAAAGAGTCATGATGCACAGAGTCGTGGGCAGTCGTACTGATGGGGCTGGGTTCTGCGGTGACATGCTCCATGGAAGAAGACCTTGATGGGGTATAGCCGGGTGACCGGGAACGACTAATGCGATCGATAACTGCTGGTCGCTTGGGAACTAGCATCATCGACGACGTCGATAATGTAGGCGACCGGGGATCCGCAGTCTGCAGCTTAGGCAGCTGCGGTGCGCTGGTTTTGATCGGGCTCAGAGGCTTATCCGAAGGACCGTCGACAGCCGCGTCTTCACGTCTGGGCCGGGGAATAATTCCATGGGCTCGCTCGGGGAGGATTGCGCTGGGTTTTGGCTCTAGAACATCAAACTTGTGCTCATGTCCGATCCCAAATAGCCGAGGATCAGGGTGTTTGCTGATGCTCCTCCTCCCAGAGGATCGAACTGGGCCATCCTCCATGCGGACTACGCTTCTTGGTGCTGTGGCCGGAGCGACCTCTGGATTGATAGCCGTGACCGCCGAGGCTTTGGCCACGCTTGGCAAACTTTGCCTGCTGGCGGCGCTCGATTTAGACGCCGTCATGGCGGAAATGGATGTCGCTTTCGATGACTGAGGGGGATGTGACTGGCTATCAGACATGACGGTGTTCATTCCTGACGAGGAAGTGCCTGTCATGGGACCGTCGTGCGTGGTCCCCGAGTTGAACGAGGAGCTTGTGGCGGCGGTTTCTACGCGGGTGAGAGAAGCGATGGGTATTTTCGGGGTTGTAGCCGTGGTGCTAGTGCTGCGTTTCGACGCAGCATCGAAGCTATCGCCATCGTCGAGGTCTTGCTGCCTCGCTCCGCCAGCGCCCACCGCCTCCTTCAGCCGACTGTAGAGCCCGCTGAGGCCATTTTGAACCAGCTCTCCAGCCAAAACCTTTGTTTCTGTCGCCGGAAGAGACGAGGGAGGAGGAGCGAAGTCGTTGAATGTCGTCAAAGAGTCGGACTGGCTCGCCGATGTGTGGATCCTGTTCAGAGCATGGGCTAGCTGGTCCTTATCGGCCTGCGAAGCGGTGGATATGGAGTTGATAGAATCATGGCGGCTCCTAAAGCCTGGGGGCGTGGACAGAACTGCCGGAGAGTTTGGTTTCGATGGGTTGTTGCTCGCCATCTTGCGCGGGCACGAATGCGACGAGTGGATGACTGAGCTCGATGGTGTCTATAACGTGTGTAGCGCTAGCATCTTTTCATCTCAGGTTGACATGATGGACGGTCGGTGGATGCAGTGATTCGTGAGGTATCTTGAAAGATCGAAAGCTTCTCCTCGTAGTCAACCTCCGCCTAATCGGACCAAGTCTAGCTTATGTACTCGTGGGTCGTAGAAGCGAGGGGTTCGCTGTCGTCGGTAGGGGTTTCTTTGTCGATGTCTATTTCAGGACTCGAGCGTGGTGTATATATCGGCGTAGTCTCGGAAAGAACGCGGGCAAGATCAAGGATCTAAGAAGGGCACAGGTGACGAGGAGGAGAATCGACGTGGCGAATATCAGGCTCTAGGTGGATGGATGTGTCAGTGTGTGTTCGGGCGAAGAAGATGGAGCGCGGGATGTCGTGTTAGGTCCACGCCTAAGGTCGTCTGTAGAGCTGCAGAACAAGCAGTCTTGGAGACGGTGCTGATGGATTTTAGAGGGCGGACTATCCGTAGACTACTAGTCAAGGTCTAGGCCCGCGTGGCCCTGCGATGACCAAGTCGGCACAATCGTCAAACGTACCTAGGTGGGATGACACAGCGACGCAACGAAGTTGGGGTTTGGTTGAGCTGGCAGTTGGCAAGTCCCGGGGGAGGGTTGCTGCACAACGCAGCAGGTACTCCAACGTTTCGCAGAAAAGTAGGCGTTAGTGTTGTCTACGATACCTCGGGAATGGCTGACTTTGAGACGCCCTCAGGCAGTTCCATATGAGAGCCCGTTGCAATGCAAGCTGGGCAAAGGCAAATGGCGGTACGGATACCTATCGGGGCTTAAGGTACTTGACCTTACCTCATCCGTTACAACACATGTGGATGGTACCCGGTACCCGTTGCCGTCCCCCGACACCAGCAATACCTACTGGACCTAAGCACCGTAGCACCTTAGATACCTAAGGTAGATAGCTGACCCACCCACACCCTTAGCACCTGGGTCGCATTTGGGGACTTTCAGGTTCCGAAGCTCGGACCACTGTCCTGCCTTTTACAGCAGCACCCAGGAACCCCGCACCGCAGTTGCTGCCACTTTACCTTGGACACCGAGCATGGGAATTCAACAGGGAACCAGGGACACACCCAAAAACGCGTTTTCTCAAAGTAGGTAAGGTACCTTGGTAACTTTGTCGCGTCTATCACTGAGCTCTTTTGGTGTTCACAACTCACAGAAGCCTTGTTCCTGCCATTGATTACAACCGTCAACAAAAATCATACTGATTCATAATCATTCATTCCAAGATTCTCAATCTTCCCTTGAAGGCATTGTCTGTCACCCTATCAATCGACACCACATCAAACGCCTCGTCTTTATGCCGAATACTTCTCGGTACACCTGCTAGCAACCCAATCCCGGATGCGGATCTTCACGATCACAGCTCAAAGCTGCGATCCTCACCACCACCATGACTAGTCCATCGAGTAGCTCGGAACAGTCCATAACATCTACTCCCTTTGGTATTCGCAATGGAGCTCCTATTTCTCGGAAGCTTGTGAAAATTCCCAAGGATCAACAAGCAATATTTTCAGACCCTGAAGGCCCGTGGATCTCAGCTCTCAAGAACAACTCACAGCAGAATACCGCCAGAGTCCCGCCAAAGGTCCTTGAACAAATTAAATATTTTCATACCTCTCGGACACTGCCGCCACCTGCTCAGAAGCCGAATGTGCCTCTTTCCAGTGGGCCAACTGCATCAGTCTCAGTCTCCGAGAACACATCCAACGATCAGCAGGAAGATGAATCAGACTCTGAGCCAGAAGTGCCCGTCAGCTCCTGGGCGGAGTCTCCTCCACGACCACCCCGAAGAGAGCTGCAAGAGACTCCCTCTCCAGCGCCATCCATCAGGTCACAGATTATGACCCAAGACCAGTCTGGTATAGGAAGAATTATCTCCCAGTCTCCACCACCTCAGACACGAAGCAGCCCTCAGATACAGTCTTCACCACCGATTGTCCCAGCAACTAAGCGACAGACATCGCCTCCTACAGGCGTTAAACGTCGCCTCCAGCTTGACGCATTCCCGTCCAGCAGTGCCGGTGTGGAAGACGAGCTGGAAATCGCTATCCCTGAGGCTCTTTGCGAAGCAACACCGCCTATCAACAGAAGAGCCGCGCGTTTGACTCCTGCATCCCAGGCCGCCACCAGTCCTCCCTGTGGCCAAGGCAGCATGGTTCCGTCTACCTACAAAGACATTAAGAGCTCCGACAAGGTGGAAGAACCAGTCTACAAGAAAAGACGGATGAAGGCAGTCAATATGAGCCAGAGCTCCCAAGAAGTTGAACAGGAGGACACTTCTGCAGAAATCGACCGACAATCTGTAGCACCGCTTCCTCAAACCCGTCAAGGGGCTCTACAGACATCTTCAGGCTCTCCACTTACGTCAGCACCTCTTGTCACTGACGAGCAACCGAAACTGGGAACAGCCAAGGTCGTCAAAGATACCCCGAGTCTTTCTGGAACTGCCAGTCTTGTTCACAGGGCAGACGAGACGTCTCACCCAGATCCTAAGCCCTCGGGAGCACACGTTCGAGCAACTCTCGAGAGTGGGAGGAAGGTGCAAGGCAATGTTTCTCTGACCACACTTGGAGTCTCGACTGCGCCTTCGGAAGCACACATTCAACCATCCATCGAAAAGAGGAGCAAGGTGAACGACGATGTTTCACTGGCCACGCGTGGAGTATCGTCTGAGGGCGGTAGCCTGAAATTCTCAAAGGAAGAGGTCCAGCGGCAGAAGGCAATATCGTATCTCAACGAAGCTTGGAAACAGCATGGTCTCGATTGGATCCCGACCGCTTTCCAGCACCTCCGGTCAACTCTGACGGTTCAGAGCCTTCGGGTTTTGATAAACGTCACTCATCAGGCATCAAAGAACGGTATACAACTCTCAGAGCTGTGGTCGAAGCCTGATGGCCCGCTTTATAAAGCGGCTTCGAACCTTGCAGACGGCAAACTCATCTTCTCCGAAGAAGTCGCCGAGGCATCGCTTTCTTTGTTCGAGGCAGAGAAGTCGAAAGCGGCAAAGGCTCGAGGCACAGCCTCGGGTGAAGGGAGGCCAGCACCCGCCGAGGGCTCATCAAGGCCCGCAAGCCGTCAGGGAACAGTATCCCAAGTGGCACCCGTCAATCCCTCGCCTCCAACATCACCCAGCGCAATGCAAGGCGTACAGCCGACTGCTAGTCCGCAGGTGCTTCAAGACAGTCGATATCAAACATTCGATGCCCATCACCGACCGCAGGGCTTAGTCGCGAGGCCCTCTTTTGCACAGGGGCCGTTGGAAGCCTTCCGCTACGCATACCCCTCCTTCTCGGGCAGCGTAGGTGACTTTGTGAAGGCTTGTTTCACGATCAAAGACCTGCGTCGGAAACGGCTGCTTCCCAAGTGGCTCTACGACGACTTCATCCGCGCCTTCGTGGACGGCTTCGTCCCTTACATCCAAACCCTGGACGACGACGAGGAGCCGCTCTCGGCATATCAGTGGTACGTCGAGTACGTGGACCGGCCAGCATATCAGGGCGGCGTCGTGACACGCGAAAACCTGTACCTAGTCCTGAAGATCTACAACAGCGGATTCAAATCGGCAAGGGAGTCTGTGTTGGAGAGCGGAACCCCGTTTCCAGAAGTTGCACAGAGGCGTCTCTCTGAGCAATCAGCAGCGTTGAACATGAGCGTGGGTCCCGATACGCCAGTTGCGCAGAAGAGCAACCCCACCCCGAAACCTCATCTGGAGACTCGCGCCTCGGGCGGCACGCCCAGCAAGCGCGCCCTCTCTGCGGCGCATGCATCCCCTGCGGAACAGCTGATTCCGTCAAAGACAAACGTCAGCGGCCATGGTGGCCAGCAGCCTGTTGATGAAGCTCATACTCACAATGCCGCGCCTCCTGCGCCGAACTTGCCCCTTGCGAATGGGGACAAGGGCAAACAGCGAGCGACAAACAACGCGGCATCAAGCCCTCGGAACCCTCCGGCATCTGCCCCGGCCATTCAACGACACACAAACGCTCTGCAGGACGACGAAGACGTCACATTCCTATCTAGTACCCCGCGCCCTCGTACCGCAAACCCTTTGAAGGAAACCATCAAGAAGGAAACCAACACTAACGGCACCACCACCACCACCACCACGCCGTTGCCGCAGAAGGCAGCACCCAACCCACTACTGTCCGAGCAGCAGAGAGTCCCTTCATCCTCGAAGCCCACCAAGGACGCCATCATCGCAGAGACCCCGCCGCGCAAGACAGCCGGCCCGCCCAAACGGACTACCCAGCACCCAGCGGTACGCCGGAGCCTGCCGGCCTCGTTCTCCGACGGCCTCCGCCCGCCTCCCGCTTCGATGCCGATCAAGGCCTCAGTACCACTGACAACCAGCCCGGCGGCGAGTCCGGCGCCGAGCGGCACACCAAAGAGCTCGTTGACTTCCTTTTTCCAAGAGAGCCGCGTGAAGAAACCCAAACAGAAGACGGCCGTGACGGAGCAGGAGAGAAGGAAGTTGGCCGTGGCCAAGATGGAGAGGATGGCCAGGGAAGGACGGTATAAGTCACCGTCCAGCACGATGCCTCCCAGGTCTTGAGATAGTGAAAGCCAGGGGGTGGGATGTCCTTCACTAACAGACTTTGATTCGTGCAATGCTATGGGTACAGGCGAGAACATAGGCATCCCAGGTCGATTCGGTGTCGGGCAAATGGGTTGACCAATGTGGTTCCATAGTAGCTGTCATTTGAGGTTCACTTTGTGCTGACCAGCATTCTCTCGGTCTGCAACATGGAAATGGAAATGGAAATGAAGCATAACGACACACACTGGGCGGAGGGCGGAAGACTTGATTTGAGTATAATACCCCTTTTTGTAGCGAGTTTGGTAGAAAGCATCGATTGTATTAGACCACGAGTGCGATGAGGCCACAAGTGGGCAAGCTGATACTACTCTCCAAAATAACAAGGCTAAGGTCTAAATTGCTCTGGCAATCAATCTGTCTAGACTGGATCTAGTTGTGCTTTTTTCGTGCCCGGCTCTCTGGAGAGTCTTGAAGGTGTTCTATGTCCCCTTGGAAAAAGCATTTCGCCAAACCCAAAAATGCTTCCCGTCGTATCCTAGTCGCAAATAACTTGAGGGTGGTGGGTAGGTTGAAGGCGGGGGTGGTGTTATTTGGGTTTTCGTGTCGCAGCAAAAATCCATGAGCCGACTCCATATAGGTAGTGTTCACAAGAAGAAAAAAACCCTTCCTCTCTCCAGTGTTCCCCCATAGTTGCCCTGTGATTTCCCAATATTCCGTCATGTCTCAAAGGTCGTATCTCTCGTGTCATTACACCCCCCCGAGGTCGCCCCCGGGGTAATGTTGTGTGGTGGGTATATGGTTTTTATGGTATCTGTAATGGGACTCAGGTCGAATCCTCGGAAGCCTGGGCCTCGGCGGCCTTCTTGGCCTTTTGTCTCTCTTCCTCTTCGGGGGTGAGGGTCTTGAGCTGGAGGGCGTGAATGCCTCCCTCGCGGGCCATCTCCTCGCGCAGAAGGGCGTAGACCATACGGTGGCGGGCGGACTGCATCTTGGACTTGAAAGAATCGGAGGTAATGACAAGTCTGTGCGACGTGTGTTAGCCAAAGGGTCTTCCGGTTTGAGAAATAACAGAGTCGGTTTTCTCGTACCTAAAGTGTGTTTCCTTGGAGGTGCTACCGGCCATAGCTTTGTGGTGGCTGTGGAGGTGGGAGTCGTTGTAGATTTCGAGGGTGGTGGGGGAGAAGGCCGCGTTCACCTAAAGATATTCGGTCAGCAAGGTTGGCTCGTGGACATTGAGACTGTCTCAAGGGCAAGATATCGTACCTTGGAGCGGATGGCGTCCTCAACGGGGTTGGTGGAAGCCATGGTTCCGTGGGGTCTGGCAGCGCCCGAGAAGCCGAGGGCGTATCTTCGCAACATTGGTGTGTGTAGGTGTGTAGTTCCTCCGGTCAAGCTACTCCCAATCCTGCCGACAATGGGGCGGAATGTGTTCATGGGGAGTAGAAGGAGGGAGGAAAGAAGAGAAGAAGGGAAGGAGGTTTTCAAGTAAAATAAAAAAAACAAGAGTAGGATGCGACGGCGTGCGGCGTGCGGCGTGCGGCTTGCGGCAGCGTGCGTCGACCGAGAAGCGGTAAGGAGGTGTAGGAACTGGACAGGGGAGAATAAGAAAGCTGCCCTTGCGCTGGTGTGTAGTGTACGGATACCGGTGTGCGGTGTGGGTTGTGGTTTGCTGTGATTTGCTAGCCCAATAACTTTTTTCGGTTTAGGTAGAGAGCGACGAGAGCGGGAAGCAGAGGAATGGAGCCGCTGCGCTGCTGCGTATGCAAAAGGTACGGTGTGCAAAAAGTGTGACCCTGGAACTTGGGACTGGGAACCGAAGCATGGATGATGGGAGATGGGGGTGGCACTGGTGGGTTGACAGAGGGAGCGAAAGAGAGGAGAGGAGAGAGAGAGGAACGAGGAGAAGAGAGGATGAGTGGATGATGGAGACGAGCCCAAAGCACAATGGAGGCAGACAAGCAAATGGGATGGCAAGCAGCAGATTTTCCTCAAGAGTCAAGGTTCCCCCCGGCCCAGGTACGTTGTGGAAAAAAGAAGGTAGAGAAGGTTCGGTGTATCGGTGAGAAAAGAGCGGACATGCGGGATGGTCTTGGCAGGCAACATGGCACATGCATCCCGGCCAATCAGCGGACCGGGGGCCTTGTCTCTGTCCTTCCGGTTGGTAACCGGCGGACCCGCACCGGGGACGCAGTTCCAAACTTCCACCAGACACCAGCGGTGCGATGAGAAGGAACTTGGGACATGCTGGCCATGGGTACTACCTCACTGTGCTGCACTGCAATTCACCAAGGTACGGAGGACAAAGAACTTTCCTCGTAAGGTAGGCAAACCTTGCTTACGGACGCCTCTTTTTCCTCTCTCGTGTTTTCAGCACTTTCCTCCACGGGCACTCGCACAATGCTACAAGCAAGTAAGATGGCAATGGGAGAAGAGTCAGCCGTTGCCACTCATCTTCCCGGTTGGGTTGTATTTTTGGCCTCTCATGTCTTGGAGAGATGACTGACTTCCAACTTCCTCCCAAAATTTCCCCGCCGACCTCGTGTCAGTGGTGAGGTGGTCGACCAAGTTAGCTTTGCTTTTGCAGTAAGTGCGTGTCAGTGACTCTGTCTCTCTCTGTGTGTGTTATGCCCACCGCCCTTTTTTAAAAAAAATCTTTTTTTTTTTTTTTGCTTCTTGGAACCAGCCCAGCTTGCTAGACCCCGGACGGCCTTACAGTCCCATGTTTCTCAGTCACCAGTGGTCCAAAGACGCTAACGCGCGGTGGAATTAGGTGGACCAACAAGAACACCTAGAACAACTGGGGAACGACGGAACACAGAGTGACGGAGCAAGCAGCAACAAGAACAACAACAAAACACATGGGCACCCGACACACCTTGGATGACTCCTCCGCCCTCGTGCCCTGCCTGCTGGCTCCATTCTGCTCACCGCGTGTTTCCTGAACAATACCACAGATGCCCATCCATGATCCGTATCCGTACCCGACCCCCAACCCTCGGCAACCACCCATCACAAAAGCCCAGGACACCCACCATTGGGCACCTGATCATCTAGATCTCTCGGTTCCAGAATACCAGCTGTTCGCTCACAATGTCGCCAATGCATGCGGGCGGGGAAACCAAGAAGACACTTTGGGGAAAGCTTCCAGGCACATTGCATGGATATCGAATGTAGTGACGTGTGGTACGGTAACATTGTCGGTCGGCAGTGGGCAGAGATGCAGCAGAGTCACCACATCCACATCCACATCCACATCCGCCCAGTGAAGCAGCAGAAACGTCTAGAGGGCCACAGCTATTTCTACCTTGGCACACATGAGTTCCTTACCTATATCAACCTCGGAGGTTTACCCAGACGCTATACGATGGAGGGACGGATAGATAAGGTAGGCAGAGGTAGGTGCCGCTTGGGAAACGTCGGCCGCTTCGAACGGTTCTCCCCCACTAGATATCCCTAGGGCCAGGTACGGATACATCCATGGATTGAACGTGGACCGATGCATCACGGCATCTGAACACACTACTTACTCCCAGGGCGCTGGGTGAAAGTGCACCAACAACCCACGGTGCCACGGTCCAATATCCACGCACGCGCACACACCATCTGACGGGTTTCCTCTCCGCGTCTCTGGTGTTCACACCTTCAACTCCGGAGCTCCATTAAAAGAGTCAAGCCTCGACTAGAGGGGCGTGAGAGGGGGGAGGAAGCGGCTAGGGTGTCCGGGCAAGCCACACTCGTCGACCCAAGTTTTCCGTCCGGTCTTCGGCAAATCCTGCCGGTGGTCCTGCAGGGAGAAGTCCGATCCGGGACCTGACAGAAGCCAAAAAATATTACCAGTTTACCGCACACACACATACGCACCCAATGTCCTAAACTGCACTCCTACGCCAACAGCTGCCGCAACCAGATCCGAGAGCAACCATTCGCGACTCCCGGGGTCCGTTCCCTCCTCCCCCCAATATCCACTCCGTCACAGCGCCGTGTTCCCGATCCTCCTTTAATCATAACGCAACTGATAACGACGCATATCTATTCCCCCCCACCCCTATGTTGGTCTCCGGTTGGCGGAATGTAGCTCGACGGCCCGGCTGCTGCTACTGCTGCCGAATATCCCCCTTCTCAGCCTTCGCCGCCGTCGGCGTCGCCGGTACATCAGCTCCCGCAAGCTTCAACTTCTCCCGTCCCGCATCCCGATCCTTTGCTGCCGCGCGCGCATCACAATCCTCAAGAATGGCTTCAACAACGTCCCTCCCAAGGATCCCCCTCTTCGAGGCCATTTCCCGGCATGATCCCGAGTCCACGGCCGTAATTCACTCCTTGTCCGGCCGCCGCTTCAAGTACGGAGAGCTTCTCGGCGATGTGCGCCGCGCGCGGAACAAGCTCTTGGACTCGGCTGGCAAGTCGGATCTTAATGGCGAGCGCATCGCATTCTTGGTAGAGAACAGTTACGACTATGTAGGTAAGCCGTGTCGCATGCCCCTCACTCAGCTCTGAGGCCTCTTTTGGCCATAGCCCAAGCAATGCGCCTCCGCTCTAACACTTGCTTGATTCCTAGTGACCCTCCTCGCTGCCTTCGCCGCGCGATCTATCGCCGTACCCCTTTCTCCGGCCTTCCCCGCCGCCGAGCTCCAATACATCCTAAACCAGAGTGAAGCGTCCTTGCTGGTGTCCTCGGCCAAGTTTGCCGCAAAAGCAAAGGAGGTCCTCGCCACGGAGCTCATCTCAAGCCCTACGCAAGTCGAGCTCCAGAAGCACCTCGGTGGCAGCGCGCATGAACAAGTTGAGCTCGACAATGCCGATGCCGACGGCGCGGGTATGATGCTGTATACTTCCGGCACTACTAACAGACCGGTTCGTTAGCCCCCTTTCTGAACTCAATTGGCGGCTGTGGGCATACTCTCTGACAATCTACTTAGAAAGGCGTCCTCCTTCCTCAGTCCGTCCTCACGGCGCAATCCAAATCCTTAATCGAAGCATGGAACTATACCCCCGCGGATCACCTCCTCCACGTCCTCCCCTTACACCACATCCACGGCACGGTCAACGCCGTCCTTACGCCTCTCCTGTCCGGTTCCACCATCGAGTTCATGTTCCCCTTCAACGCCGACGCGGTCTGGAAGCGCCTTGCCGCGCCCTACATCACCTCGAACGGCACAAACGGTGTGAATGGTACCAACGGTACCAACGGTACCAACGGTACCAACGGTACCAACGGGGTCAATGGAAGTAATGGCACAAACGGCGCCCATGGGACACACAACAACATTCCCAAGGAGAAAATCACCTTCTTCACCGTCGTGCCAACGGTCTACTCCCGCCTCATCGCCACCCACAAACTCCTCCCCCTCGACCCCGCCGAGCCCACTCGCGAAGCCGTCTCCCCCCGCAACATGCGCCTCGCCATCTCCGGCTCAGCCGCCCTCCCGACGCCCATCAAAGAGGCCTGGAAGACCCTGTCGAAAGGCAACGTCCTCCTCGAGCGCTACGGCATGACAGAGGTCGGCATGGCCCTCTCCTGCGGCCTCGACTTCGCAGACCGCGTCGACGGCAGCGTCGGCTGGCCCTTGCCCGGCGTCGAAGCCCGCCTCGTCGACATGGACACCGGCCTCGTCATCCCCCCCGGCCAAGACGTCGACACCCAAACGGGCCGCGAACGCTCCGGCGAAATCCAGCTCCGCGGTCCCACAATCTTTACAGAGTACTGGCGCAACCCAGAGGCGACGGCCAAGGAATTCGTCCAGGGCGAGGACGGCAAGGGGAAATGGTTCAAGACGGGCGACGTCGCCGTCCGGAGACCGGTTCCCAACGCGGGGCTCAACGCCGCGCAGGCGTCCTGGGCAAAGGGCGACATGTACTTCATCCAGGGCCGCAAGAGCGCCGACATCATCAAGACGGGCGGCGAAAAGGTCAGCGCCCTCGAGGTCGAGCGCGAGCTGCTCTCCCTCCCCGAGGTGGCCGAGGCCGCCGTCGTCTCCGTCCCCTCGGGCAAGTGGGGCTCCAAGGTCGGCGCCGTCGTCATCCTCAACACGGACGTCGTCCCACACTGGTCCCCGATGGCCATGCGGAGGGCCCTCCGGGATCGGCTCGTCAACTACAAGATTCCCCAAGTGCTCAAGGTCGTCGACCACATCCCGCGCAACGCCATGGGTAAGATCAACAAGAAGCAGTTGGTCCAGGCCGTCTTTGAGGACCAGTTTAGCGGCGATGAATTGTAAGAATACATAGTTACTGATACTGCGTGGGCACTGCTCCATTCACATTGTGAGATACACATATACCTGTATGAATAGGACATGAAGAGACGTTGCATAGAATTTAGACACAGTATACCTTATTAAGAAGAAAGAGCATAATTAACCCCCTCACTTCGTAAAGGGTGACATGCACACCAGGGCATTCTGGCCTAAACCTAGGTATCTATTCCGGATATTCGCATCCGCCTATGTACTATCGATCATGGCCGTCTAGAAGTTCCATAAAACCCATTGATCTCTTTTTTTCGTTCTCAGCAAACGCCTTCGTCAAGAGCTCCAAGGACTGTCATAAGAGAGAACTTTTTCCGCCCCAGAGATGCGTTATCATCGATGCATAGCGTAGCATTGCCCCCGTATTCCCCCCACTGGCATCAGGCAAAAAAAAAAAAAAAAGAAGTCGGCTGAGAAAGTGCGGCGAGAAGTGATATCGTGCAGACGTAAGTCGGCCTTCTCGGTAGGTAGAGGAGCCCGTTGGTTCCAAAAATATGCGTTGGTGAGCATCAGTTGTAAGCGTGTGTAATTCGTTTCTGTGGTTTTTCAAAGGCTGTGTCCGTCGCTTTAGACAGTGTGCTTGGCCTTTGCACGGCTACTTCCGCTGTGTGCGCTGTCCGTATGACCAGAGAACTCGACGACCTCGTTGGCCGGGAGGGCCAGGATGTCCTTGAAGCGCTTGCCGATGTTCAGGAGGATGTCACGGCCCTTATCCTGCGAACGTCCCTTGCCACCAGCCACGTCTCCGTCACCACGGCCAGGAATGCTCTTGCCAATGGTACGGGTCCAGACACCGATACGGAAGAAAGCCTTGCGGACGTTGACGACAACACCCATGACCTCTCCGTCGTCCTCAGCCTCAAGGGTCTCGCCAATAGCGGCCAACATGACGTGAAGCCAGAGATCGTCGATGGGGATGCTGCGCTTCTCCTTGAACTGGTAGGACCACTTGCCGCCGTGCTTGTTCTGGGCATCCTCCCACTCGGGGCGGACGCCGGCCTTGAAGAGATGGTAATCGGACTTGAGGGCAAGCTCGGAGACAGGGGCGATATTGTTCTGGTCAATGGTTAGCGAGCGATAAGAGGGGCCGCGGGGAAGGAAGGTGCACGTACATAGACACCCCAAAACTCCTCGACAGAGTTGAAGGTGATGACCTCCTTCAGAAGGTCATTCCAGTTGTCACCCTACGCCACGTTAATATGAAGTCGCTTGCCGTGTACATCCGGGATAGACGGACCTTGCCAGAGGGGGGCTTGGTGAACCAGAGAGTCCACTTGTTCTGCAGAGGGTGCTTGACGTTGAAGTTCTCCTTGTCATGGAAAACAGTAACGGGCTTCTCCGAATCGTTCTCCTTGGTCTCGCTCTTCTCACCACCCTCGGGGGAGATGGGAATGGTGGAGAGGTCGACCTGCTGGTCGGGGTTCGTGGGTGTTTGCACAGAAGTCGCCATCGTGAAGGGGTTTGTTGTGGTGTTTTCGGGCTGATTACGGATCGGACCGATGAGGGGTAGAATAGGTCGTCAGAGGCGCTGAAAAGCAATCTCTGGAAGAAAATACGAGGTAGGCTGTCTCGAAGGTCGAAGAAGCCGAGGGGAAAAGAGGTCGCTGGTCGCGGTTGTAGGGTGGAAGAGTTGGAAAGTGGGAGGGTTCCGCACGAAAGTGGCTGAAGGTGGTGGTGACGACGGTTGCTCGCTTCACTATTGGGAAAGTACTGGAGGGCGATTGCTTCCTTCCAGATATTCGGATGTGGGGGAGATTCCGACGTTGCGCCAGGCAAGTCAGCAAGGATCGGAAAGGGCGGATTAGAGGAAAGATCAGAACGGGCGGTGACGTTCTATTTTTTTCGTGGGTAGACGACGAGGTCGAGAATTGGGAAGTTGCGATGGGTTTTGCACTTTGCGAGGGATTGCGCGCAGCAAGCAGAAGTCTGAGAGAGAGAGAGAGAGTGAGAGCCTTTCCAGTCGCAAAAAAATGCCCAAGCGGGCTTGGCCAACGGGAGGGGAGCAAGGCTTCGGAAAAGTGGGTTTTAACAAGGTGTACGGAGTACCTCAGTACCTTTCTTGGTGGGCGAGGCCTAGGTTTTTTTTATTTTTTGCGCAGGGCACCTTACAATTACGACCTAGCACAACTGCCACAACAAGCACGTAAGGCAGATGCCACCCACTCAGTGCGGTCCCGGGGTGCTAGTTAGGGCGAAGGAAAGCCCCGACATCAGTGGAATCCTGGGTGAGCCCAGTCCGATGGATACGGTCACCTCAGGTTCCTCAAGAAGCAAAGCTACGAAGGAGAAGAAAAATCCAAGGTCGGCCTGGTCCCGTTCAAGACCAGGTTTGCGGACGTTTAAGCAGCCCAGTGGATGTCGACTGCTCCAATAGTAGCACTTGTCAGCCTACAAACCTTGTAACTCCGTGTCGTGTTGTGAGGCTTGTTGATTGTCTGTCTTCAACGCCATGCAATCCGTTTCGCTGGTGTTGAGTTACTTTTCTTCCCTCTTTCTCTTCAGGGCTAGCGGTCTAATCACAGTGTAGACTGTTGACTTTTGGCTTACGTTGCCTGTGGTTGCTCAAGGCTGATAAGTCGGGTAACTTTTCTTTCCTGCCTTTAGATTCGACCATGTCCAACAGCTCAGACGAAGCTTCCGGCTACTAGGGTTGTGCTTGCTGCTTTCCTACTCCTGTCATCCGGATTGTTCCTTCTTTCCTGTTCATGCAATCCCGAAGGTCCTCTCCGTACTCGGCCTGAACCGAGCGCCGCCTCCTGACCCCTTCTCCTTGCCCCTTCCTACGCCAAAAGACACATCCTTGTTTCGACATCATGCTTTCTTCTAGCCTCGAAGCACCGTCTTCGTATTTTTGGCTTCAACTTACGGAGACCTTTCCAGAAGCTTTCTCTCCCGTTGCCCGTTGCACCCAATGACCTGAAAAGCTATGCTTTCCTCCTAGTCTCCTACCCCTCTAGGATTAGGTGGCTTGATCAAAATCCCTCCATTTTGAGTCAACCAACAAGCAAGCTAGGCATCTTTTCCGTCATCCTCTGCCACCCTCTCCTGCACTCGAGAACTCAAGCGAGTCGAGTCCGGCTTGAAGCGGTGATGGCTCTGGGGTTCGTTTCGGCCAGGCCGCTCTGCTCGTTTCAGTCATTGCACACTCCGCCCCACATGCAACGAGGCTCTATTGACGTCGTCTCAATGGGCAGGGGTACTATCATCCCCGAGGAGCTGCATTGTGCTCATCAACATTGAGTGAAAGAAACAAGACACTTGCTCTACTCACTCTCATCCTTCTACATTACACCATCGTCCGCTTCCGCGGCAAGAGCCAGGATGGGAATGCAGTGTGAAAGAGGGATAAGCTGTCTTTGTTCCGCTACGTAGCTGCCAAGCGGCTGTATACATCGCATGTATCTCGTTGGACTTTCTATATTAGGTTGACGGCATCAGGTGTCAACCCGTTGGAGACAAACAACAATGGCATCGATGACAATGGCCGTATGTCTTTTGTCACTCGTTTTCCCTTGAGTTCTCACAAAGAGGGCGACCGAAACGATGGAACAACCAGCGGGCCGTTTAGGTTGCAGAGCATCCTCGTATGACAAGGCAGTTAAGCAAGCAGTGTGATACTCATAAAGCCGAGCTAGCGCTGCAAAAGACGCGGCCGCGATGTACAGATAGATATGACCATCAACAGGAAGTTAGCAGCGACGTTTCCTAAACAACCCGTAACCATTTGGCAGCTTCCGACCATCTAGAGTTTCATCAACCGATCCTCATCCACCCATCGAACCTTTCGAGCGATACAAAACGTTTAGGTCGATATTCAGATCACCACAGATGGCACCACAGCACCCGGCATCACATAACTGGACTTGTGGCGATGCTTGCAGATCAAAGGCACAGTGGGACCGGAAGCACAAGAGAGCAGTTCCATCAGCAACCAGAGCATTCGCCTCCAAAGACCTCAAAGAATTGGAAGGATTCAGCCCCGAGCGACTCTTCCTCCAATGGGGCCTTCCACGTTCTTCACTCACAGACGACTTCTTTACACATCACTATGCGGCCATCATATCAAACATCAATCTCCACGCCAAGCAGATTTTCAAAGTTGGCGATATCCCACCCGAGGGACCCGTATGGTCCGTGGTTACTGGCGACAAGAGCTTGGAACTGGAACGTACCATTGAGAAAATTGCTCGGCCAGATCCCCGGGACCATAGCCCTTGGGACGACTTGATCGCCTGTAATTACAAACGCATACTCGTCATGAGAGCCTTCTTTTTGAAGCTTTTCGGGGATCAAATATTTTCACTTCAGCTATTCGGCGCAGATAACCAACAGCGGCTTTCACTACTCCACCAAGACAAGCAGTTCATCAAGCATGAAGGTAGGTTTCTCCCCTGTATTCAAGGAGCCACGAACACGACGCAGCAACTGATTGCCTCTTAGGTTTCAAGCGATCGGAATTGAGAGCAAGAACAGTGGAAATGCTATTAGAAGAGAATCATGGCTTGCCACCTCTGTTTTGGAAGCAAGTGGACCATTATGCCATGAAGACCTTCTTGCTCATCAGGCCAGTCCTGACCTGGGTGAGAATGACCTGGCCCGAGAATGGCCCGAATCCATCTATTCGGTCAATCTTCCAGATGATCCATCATGACGTGGCCTACGCGGCTTGGCTCTCTGTCAACATTCGTCTGTCTCCCGAGGTTCTTGACTTCGAATGGCGCCAGCCTGGCGACCACTACGTCCCGGGCCAATTTGAGATCCCCGATCCAGGAGTAATGCCGATATCGTCCCCCGCCTTACAGAGCCCAACGTCTGATGGGTTCGTCACTACTTCATATTCATCCAGACTAGTAATGTCGCAACTACCGACATCGAGGGTAATGGTTTCCTTCGTCCCTCTCGTTCAGAGAATCTTGCTTCTCGAGGGTGCCAATGGAGAAGAGCCCATTGGTAGCCAGAGGACGAGGTTGTTGGAGTCTCGAACGGCCTATTACACCCTCTTTGGCCGCACGGATGAGATTGATCGACGAACCCCCGGATCGCTTGCGGACCACGCATGTGAGATGCGGCGAACTAAACCAACATTTATCTCTGAGGTCTTTGGGTTCTTCCGTCCGTTACTCTGGCAGCTTTTTGTGTTGACTGTGATTTATCAACTCCTAAAATACACGTACCTACTGCGGGAAGAGACAGCAGGCGAGGAGGCAATGAGGGCGGGATAGGTTCGGTATAAGATCCGTTGTCTGATCATTGAGGAGTTTGCTGTTACTAGGTAGCTTTTGACTAGGTCTGAGGCGGTGGTTTTCCGGCGTTGGCGACGTGGCTTGAACGTCAGAATCAGGTGGACTTTCACTTGAGTCGGAAATTGAGCGAGCAATGGAATTCAAGATACCAAATATCACTCAAAGGGATAGACAAGCATGTGAGGTGTAGTAGTTGATGTAGGGTAGCCTGAAGGAGGCTCGTGAAGATGCTCTCTTGCAGAGCCTGAGAATGAAAACTGAAGAGTCCCCCAGGAGCTTCAGTTGTTCAGCACTCTCGTTATTTCATGGAATAGACCAAAAATGAACGTCCAGACTGATGATGAAGCAGATGCAGCAAAAGATTGCGTCGAGGGGGAATCGAACCCCCGGCTCCCCGACGCTGCTGGATGGCAACGGAGAATTTTACCACTAAACCATCGACGCAGATGATCAGATCCGGACATTGAAGCCTGAAGAGCTGGTTGGAAGCTGGACGACGAAAAGGTGATTATATTCCGGAGTTGATGCTGTTGTGTGTGGGGGGAGAGGGTTCGTGCATGAGGGTTTCGGTGGCTCGCGAGCTGCAGTCACCGGGGCGACTAGCAGTTGCGGCGGCGGCGGCTCCACCCGTTCTTGGAACTTTGAAAACGTTGTAAACTGCCCGACGAAGAGACAGATTGCCGCGGGTAGAGTGACCTGTCCCGAGAATTGCTCAGATTCATTCTCGGCCGATGGCATCGGGTTGTTTTTCATGCGAGAAAGACGTCGGCCGTTCGTCTGAATGGGCAAGCGAGAGCCAATCGTTTGGCAGGCATTGGCAAGTTGTGAAGGACCCCTCCAGGAACAACTCAATGAGGGGCTACCTACACGTGCATGGGGAGTTGGAGACAGTGTCGCGGCCAAAAAAAAAAAAAGGGACTCTTTTTCTGGCTGGGCAACCGACTTCGGGGAGCCCGACATATCTGCATGAAGGCTCCTTTGGCTGAGCAGTCACAGTCTCCAGAGACAGAAAAACAGTTGAGCATACCACGGCAACTTGAGACTGGTTTGCCGCTGGGAGGAAGGGGTCTCCCGTGGGATTGCCACAGAAAGCCGGGAGTCCACTGCCAGGCATCTGGGTTGCTTGTCCAAGTCGAGTCAGGCGGTGAGGAAAGCAATGTCATGGACCAAAGTACTTGAAATGGTGTTAAGCGCCGGTACCTGCACGAGGGACTCGGAGAGGACGAGGAGTAAGCCCAACAAGGCATGTGGACGAGAGGGGGATGAGTTGCAGGCTGTTGAAAGTCAGGATGGGTGGATGGGTATTCTGGTATTAATGACGGCGTTCTTTGTTCAAGTTGGCAAACTATTACTTGAAGGCAAAGACGACAATGTCACAAAAGTAACAAAAGTAGCACAGTACCCGAATGAGCAGTACCTGACCCGAATACAGCCAGCCACCATCAAGAGGCTCTCAAACAGTTCCCCGAGTCGGGTGCAGAGCAAGTGGTTGCATCTTGCATTCAACTCAACTCACACTACCTACTCCGTAGGTACGGAGTATTACCTTACCTCAAGGTAGGTAGGTAGGTACAATTGGAAGTGCACACGGGCAGTGATAGCGAAGCGAGAAAATGGCGGGCCGGGGTGCGATAAGATAAGAGACAGCCCACCAGCAAGGGCCACAGCGGGATGGAAATGGCAAAAAAATTGCTTCGCCGCCCTTTGAATCTCTCGAATTTTTGTGGCATGGCCCGGGCGCTAGTAGCACGGTCTCAGCGCTGGAGGGGGGGTTGGTGGGGCTAGGGGGACCCAGAAAAAAAAAAAGTCGAAATTGATTTTTTTTTTGCGGCCTTCACAAAAATCCTGTGTTGAGTGAGACTGGAGCGAGAGAAATTCTTCTTGAAAGGACCCCACGTCGCCCGCCCGCCCTCCTTCACATATCTTTCTCCTCCGCGCAAACCTCCCAACTTCAATCCTCCCCCCTCCCTCCCCCATTCACACAGGCCGTTTTTTTGTCTTTGTGCATATCAAATCTCTCAAAATGGCGGACGAGGTCTACGATGGTGCCATTGGCATCGACTTGGGTAAGTTTTCTTTATTTTCCTGTTGCTGATTGATGATGGGTTTTTGGGGGGGTGTTGTTTTTGTGGCGATGCCGGTCGCCGCTCGCTTGAGGGGTTCAGTCTCTCTTGAGCATCACGAACAACATCGCTTCCACCAACCCAGCAAAATATCACCAAACATCAATCAACTATCGCGGATGGGAGACTCGACGAAGAGTCTGCCACTATGGAAAAAAGAGCATCCAAGCTGACCGAGTCTTCTCACCACAGGAACTACCTACTCTTGCGTTGCCACGTACGAGGGTACCAATGTCGAAATCATTGCCAACGAGCAGGGTTCGTTCACCACACCCTCTTTCGTCTCCTTCACCGACAAGGAGCGTCTGATCGGTGAGGCTGCCAAGAACCAGGCTGCCATGAACCCCATCAACACCGTCTTCGATGTCAAGTGAGTAGCCCTCGCCGTTCTCCGTCCGCTTTTGCTCTGCGATTCCTACTTTCGCCGGGGTGGGTGAGAATTTTCCCCACCCGAGGAGGGGTAATCCGGAGCAAAAAGTGCAAGGCGGAAAAGATAATTCCACAACCACACAGATCGCTGACCATGCCTCCGTTTCCAGGCGTCTTATCGGTCGCCGCTTCGATGACCCTACCGTCAAGAAGGATATCGAGACCTGGCCCTTCAAGGTCGTCGACGAGGGTGGCAACCCCAAGGTCCAGGTTGAGTACCTCAACGAGACCAAGACCTTCTCCCCCCAGGAGGTCTCCTCCATGGTCCTCCTCAAGGTGCGCTTTTTCCCCTTAGTGATGAGACCGGAAATGATAGCCGGCATCACATATTTCCTGCGATGCGCAGTATGCTGACCCCCTCAACAGATGAAGGAGATTGCCGAGGTCAAGCTTGGCAAGAAGGTCGAGAAGGCTGTCATCACCGTCCCTGCCTACTTCAACGACAACCAGCGTCAGGCCACCAAGGACGCCGGTGCCATCGCCGGTCTTAACGTCCTCCGTATCATCAACGAGCCCACCGCTGCCGCCATTGCCTACGGTCTTGGTGCCGGCAAGTCTGGCAAGGAGCGCAACGTCCTCATCTACGACTTGGGTGGTGGTACTTTCGATGTGTCCCTCCTTAACATCCAGGGTGGTGTCTTCACCGTCAAGGCCACCGCTGGTGACACCCACTTGGGAGGTCAGGACTTCGACACCAACCTTCTGGACCACTGCAAGAAGGACTTCCAGCGCAAGACCAAGAAGGACCTCTCTGGCGACCCCCGTGCCCTCCGCCGTCTCCGTACTGCTTGCGAGCGTGCCAAGCGTACCCTTTCCAGCGGTGCCCAGACCACCATTGAGATCGACTCTCTCTTCGATGGCGAGGACTACACCACCCAGATCACCCGTGCTCGTTTCGAGGATCTGAACGCCAAGGCTTTCAACGGTACCCTCGAGCCCGTTGCCCAGGTTCTCAAGGATGCCTCCATGGAGAAGACCGGCGTTGACGAGATCGTCCTCGTTGGTGGCTCCACCCGTATCCCCCGCATTCAGAAGCTTCTGTCCGAGTTCTTCGACGGCAAGAAGCTCGAGAAGAGCATCAACCCCGATGAGGCCGTTGCCTACGGTGCCGCCGTCCAGGCCGGTATCCTCTCCGGAAAGGCCACCTCCGCCGAGACCGCCGACCTTCTCCTTCTCGATGTCTGCCCCCTGTCTCTTGGTGTCGCCATGGAGGGTAACATCTTCGCTCCCGTCGTCACTCGCGGGCAAAACGTTCCTTGCTTGAAGAAGAGAACTTTCACCACTGTTGCCGACAACCAGCAGACCGTTCAGTTCCCCGTTTTCCAGGGTGAGCGTGTCAACTGCGAGGACAACACCTCCCTCGGTGAATTCACCCTTGCTCCCATTCCTCCCATGAGAGCCGGTGAGGCCGTCCTTGAGGTCGTCTTCGAGGTCGATGTCAACGGTATCCTCAAGGTCACCGCCACCGAGAAGACCTCCGGCCGCAGCGCCAACATCACCATCTCCAACTCTGTTGGCAAGCTCTCCTCCTCCGAGATCGAGAACATGATCAACGGTAAGCCCCTCTTGACAATCACTCCATGACAAATCAATGCTAATTCCTTCCCTAGACGCCGAGAAGTTCAAGACCAACGATGAGGCTTTCAGCAAGCGCTTCGAGGCCAAGCAGCAGCTTGAGTCCTACATTGGCCGTGTTGAGGAGATCATCTCCGACCCCACGCTGTCCCTCAAGCTCAAGCGTGGCCAGAAGGACAAGATCGAGCAGCAGGTCTCCGAGGCCATGGCTGCCCTCGAGATCACCGACGCCGGTGCCGATGAGCTGAAGAAGCAGGAGCTCGCTCTCAAGCGTCTCGTGACCAAGGCTATGTCCTCCCGATAAATGCTTCAAAACATTTGAGAAAAATCTATAGTGTTTTGTTCGCGCGGAGGATGTTTACGGCTTTGATGAGGCCGCTTTAATGCGGTGTATCTGGTTCATCTTCCTTGCGTTTGGGTGGCCGAACAGATTACGGCCAGGCAGGATGCGAATAATTTGGGTCAGGTGATATCAAAAGGCACTTAAAAGTTCCTCCTTTTTTCCAGCCGCCTTCCTCCCCATATACCTCCACAACCCCCTCACACACACACACACACACACACACACACACACACACGACACGACACTGGCATGACTCTCGGGCGAGTATGATTGCCTTCCGGGTGCCGTCTTCTACGGCTTTCATAGAACTGTAGAAAGGATCAGGGCGACATGAAATGAAATTACGTCTTACTTCAATTTTGTTCGATATGATAAATGATGCAATGTGAAGTCGACGTCAAGCCAAAGCCCCCTATTGAATTGCGCCGTATCCCCACCACGAAAGACAACCGCCTACTGGAGTTGAACCCTGACGACGTCAATCTGTTGGCGACGACGTCACTCTACTGGCAGCGATGTCAATCTACTGGCAGCGACTCCGATAACTCGGAAAATGATGGGCGGTACCACAAGCGCGACTGTAAGCCAGACAAAACAACACCGTCTAGATGATCCACTACGTCGAATCAATAGTCAGTTGGGAAACGACGGGCGACGACGGGCGACGACAGCTTGTGTCCTGCTGCAAAAGGACCATCACTATTACACCAAAATGTAGGACCAATGGCTCTCTACGCGGCTGACCAGCACCATCGCCTTCACTATGTCCCCTGTTATCGCCGCCCTCATCACCGTCCTTAGGTGTATATTGCAATCATCGCTAGTAATGTATTCAAAAGGGAATACCCATCGATATGAAGATGCGCATTGGAACCGGCTACTTGCGAGCTGACGTTTAAGTGTTAATCTAGGTACCGGGACGCTTTTACTACGCAGCGGCACTGAAGCCTATGACGCTCTTGAAGAGGCTTCCTATTGAGTGGGCGTTAATGGACACACTCCACAAACAAGTCTTTGAAATCGTGAAAAACATGTTTTCGCGCTCATCTCTGGGATATATATGCAGGTTCAAGGGTTCTAGATCCTACTAAACTTTCGAGCATAATAGGAAGGGGGTGGCAGTAAAGGGGACTACATTGGGCTCGATTAACTTGACATAAGAGATGAACCTCCGCCATGGACTTCCAAAGACTACTGCTACTTTGTGCCGCAATTAAAAGGCCATACAATTTTTTTCATTTCACTTCTCTATCTAAGTGCCATCGCGGCGGCTTCACTTGCACTACCTCTACCTAGGTAGGATTAAATGCATAGCAAGTGCGTCTGTCTTCGGTGGGGATGTGGGGCAGGAGGTGATGCTAGATGCGGATGAAGCAACTCCATTGCTATTCATGTTCCTTCCAGAGATACAATTTCAGAACAAGTATCGAGTTAAACGGCCTTCTCGTAAACCCGCTCGACCCTTGCTGGATATCACACGACACAGGCTCCTAGACGATATCCATTACAGGTGAGTCGAAGTACTACCAAGAAAGAACATGAGCCCGGTGTTTGGAATCTCTTATCCACGTGGACTACCTTAGACACATCAGTTGGAAGGTATTTCACAGGTCAAGTCGCACATACACAAAAAAAGATGTAAAGATGCCCTGCTCTGACAGATCACAAAGACAAACGCGCATTTGCGGCCTATAAAGCATTTAGTGGCTAATCGGTGAAGACTTATTGAGAGAGTGATATACGGAGGGATTTTCGAAAAGGGCAGTGTAGTGCGCGTCTACACTAACGAGGAGTTTGGCGGCTCTGGTCAAAGGGATTCTGGCAGGAACGCTGACGCAGAGCTCATCAATTTCAATGCAGCGGACTCAGAGGTGAGTAGCATGTGCATGAAATCTGTTAAACTTCGATATCACGACTGACGGGGATTCTCACGAGGTGGGAGATGCCCGCATGTGCGACGACGACGACGACGACGACGACCTGTTGGTATCGGCGGATTACTCTCTGCCTGAATCTGATGCCATCTGCGTATCCAGCGGGATCGATGTGATGTATCTCGCCGGGAGACTTCTATGTGTTTGGTAATACTTTTCATAGGAACTTGTATACTGTTATGGTAGGAATGAAAACGGACGAGGGAAATAGCGACGCCATTCCGACCAAGGGCTTCTTTCCTTGGAATCCCAAGCCAAAAGTTTAATCCCCTTAAGAGGTCATTGTCAGCTCACATCAGGGAACTTATGACTGATGCTACCTACTCATAGGACTCTAGCCATACCACTCCATGCCTCAGGCGACGCAGGAAGGGCCATAGGGACCAAAAATGCTTCCTCTGTCACCGATCACGGGTCGAGATGCTTGACCGGGTGACTGACTCGGTGATGATCATGTGGTTGATTAAATTTTTTTCCTTTCCACTCTCTTCTTTAACTTTTTGCAGGAGGAAGGTGCCCCCGAGATCTTGGTATGTTTGCACCACTTGCCTCACTCATCCTATCCAAGAACCTATTGACATAATGCGAATAGCCGGCAGTTGAAGTTATTTAAAGATGCGCCTGGGTCAGTTGCTGGCAGAGGATACCACCGTATGCGTGAAGCTCTCTTACTCTACGTCTCGAATTTTGGTTGCATCGACACCGTCTTATACGACGATGTGTTCCTCAAATCCTCAATCGAAGCATAGTGCTCTTTTTACCTCAAGACGTCAAGAGATGAGCATGTCATATTAATCCCACCTGCGTTACCACCAGCTTCCTACCTATCCTAGCTTTAACAATGACATGCCAGAGAAGATGGTGTGAAGTCGAAATAGAACTGACCAGGGCAGAAGTACGATGGCATGGAGTTCGATCGCCACAGTGGGGCCAGCTGCCATCGCAGCCAATCACGTAATCAACAACTCCACCTTCTCTCACTCTCCGTCACTACTACTTCTCATTCCTCATCCACACCACTACCAGTCTTTAAGTTGCTGTCTGCAGATCTGATGTGATGGAAAGGGTTGCTACCAGAAGTCTTTCGTAAGACGATAGCACATCACTCCTTGATCATTTCTTGTCATCGACAATGTCGGTATCCCATCGAGATGGCCACCCGCACCTTCGACCAGTTCTTTGACCTTCCCGTCGAGATCCGGGACCAAATCATCTCCCACCTCTGCGTACTCCCAAACCCGATCCAGATTGGTCCCACAGAGTTCTCCGAGATCCCCTTCCCGCACGACCTGCTCCTCTCTCACCCTCTTCTCTACGCCGCCGGCTCCGCCCTCTTCTATGAACAGAACCGCTTCATCCTCAACCTCCAAAACGGGCCCCGCGCCGCCGTCGAGCGCGCCATCTGCGACGGCAGCCCCTGGCTCCTCGGCAACTCCCAGGCCCGCCGCCGCGTAAAGTACCTCGAGCTCTCGCCAGGCCGCCTGGGTAATGTCTTCCAGACCCACGTCTCCCCGGCCGTGGCCGACATGATTCTGAACGGCTCCCTGCGGCATCTCAGGCTCGTGCTATATCCGACGAGCGCCGACAAGATCGTCTTTAACCAGAGTGCCGCCGACGCCCAGTCGCGGAGAGCCGCCATCACGCGGCGCGATGATGCGTTTGCTCATTCTAGGCCGTTTCAGGCTCTGTTGCGGCTGCTGGCTGATCCGGACTTGGAGACGGCTGATCTTTACGTTGATCCCATTCACCGCGACTTTTGGTGTGAATTCCACGAGGGCGTGGCGTGTTGTAAGGGACAGAGGAAGGGACCGTGGCAACTTATTCCGATTGACTGGAGGAGGCTTGCCGCTAGTTACGGCCAGGATCACGAACTCAGCATCGTTCGGGTGGTGGTTTGATTGCTCAGTGGCCTTGAGGGAATTTTTATTCTCATGTCTGGGAAGTGTGTAGCGGCTAACACCGCGTGTAGTCTTTCAAATGCATTGGCATCGCGGCGCAAGACGTCGTCAGCAATCACAAGACTCGCCCATTGACTCCAATATCATCAGTCCCATCATTAGGCGCGAACTCCGTTCAATAGAATGTAGTCTGGCAATAACATCTCAAAGCTATCTTGCTTACGGTACCTTGAAAACACTCAAAGGAGTTATGCTTGCTGGAGCTTTCAACCATTTGCACCAAACAGTCTATAGTACATCAACAGAAATTTGAACCCACCTTGAGGTAGTAACTGGAAACAAAAAAAAAGAAACAGAAAAGGGGCTGGGGGTAACTGACCTTAGAACTCACGCCCCTGTGCGGATTCGAACAGCGCGCCCCTCAGTCAACCCGAACTCTGACTTCATTGGAGTATTTGTTTATTTTAACCACTCGACCACCTCGCACACAGCTTGACCTGGCCTCGCCGACCTAGACGGGCGCTGCTGTGCTGGTGACGGGAACGACGTTGAGGGGGCATATGTACCCTTGAGGCAGGCACCACTGCGTTGAGCTTCTCATCTATACGGGTGCAAAAAGTGAGCGTGTCACGGGGCGGACTCCTTTTCCTCACCACGTTCCAACAATCCACGGAGATGTTATTGGATCCGCTGCTCATTCTAGGTATCGGAGCCGAGTTAGATGGCAACCGAGAATGCAGGATCTTGTGGACGGTATGCGTTCACTCAGCAATACGTTATACGTAATCTTTCAGGGACATACCGATTGATGTCCCAGGACCTGACCACGAATGATTCTGGAAAGATACATGCATTATTGAGATTGACGAATACTTTCCAGAACAAGCTCGAGTGTATGGAGTTGAGCCGTGACGCCAGTGTATCGACTCTGCGATCGTTAGCTACACAATTCTGTTGAGATATCGACCCCAGACCTGCCCGACCTCACTCGATGTACCTTTGCCTGAAGACAAGTTGTCTCTGGCCCGCGTTGCAACTTGTGTGTCATCGAAGAGGCGGACGTTTTCCATACCGATGAATTACACATAGAAGATCCTCGAAACTTATTTATTGACATCGGGGCTTCACGCGATAACTTACCGCTCGTTGGCAAACGGAAACAGAGCTCTTCGAACTTTAGTGATGGCTTGAACGTAACAAGAATCCAGATGACGAAGCACTGACACTGTTAGAAGTCCATGGATGCACGTTTGAATACCGCGCTACCACTCTGTTTCGCTGGATAGACGACCACAGACATGGAATTACAAGCCTAGTGATCGAGTTCTTTGAGCGAAAAAGGGGCTCGTCAGCAGGCTTGAATATTGACACGTAGCTCGGGAGTCTATGTACCCGTTACCAGTTCTCTAACGTGAAGTGAGCTCGACGCGAGCGATGTACGAGCTCGAGAATGAAGGACGATTGTCTTAGAGCGGTAAGCAAGCTCTTGGATCAGCCGTGAGTATCTATTTGCTTTCCAAAAATGTGTTTCGGGAAACTTGCGGGCGCCACCCGGAACCATGAGACGGAGCATTGGAACGTTCGCAGCGATTGGAATTCAGCTTGGTTAAATATTCCGCCTACAGTACGAGGTAGAAGCGGCCACAGGACTAGCACGTTACCCACCGCTACTCCGTAGATACTTATATGCGCCCCCGCCGATCTAGCTTCCTTACACCAAGTGTTCTCTTCCACTGATCTTCCGTCGAAATCTCGGCTGCTCACCCAACCTTTCCTTCAACTTCCTGCCCATGGTCTGGGGTCAACGACCTCGCCAAGGACGGAAACCTTTCTCTTCGCCTCTCTAGCAACTACCCTTCCCTGGGGTATTCATACCAGATCAAGCACATGACGACGATTGAATAATGATCGTGCCAACTTCGCGCAGTGTGTGGGTAATGGAGTGCTATAGAGAATGCATGAAACTGTAAGTGGCTGCTTGAATGCTCCTCGAAGATGCCGGGTGTCACCTTGGCCGAATTCATCTTGTCCCAAATCAATCCGTCTAGGATCTTGATGGATTTATGTAAAGAAGTAACCGATCTGAGACAATAATGGAGAGTTTCGCACTTCTAGACACACATAGGATTTATGGGCGTGAGTTGAAATGTTGAGCCTCTTCATTGAGTATGTATTTCAAGCAATACTTTAACATATCGGAGAAAGCTCGCTCATGTGTCGATCAAATTGAAATGCTGGATGTAAAGGGTTCGTAAAGCGTTGAGAGTTCGCAGCGCGTAGACTTTACTGAGACTTAGCTGATGCCAAACTTCATGTAGATTTTACTGCTATACGTGGTACCCGCGGCATAAATCTGGTCTAGGGGATAGAAGTCCGGGCCCATTATGAAGTCGCCGACGAGCTTTGCATGGCCGGTGAAAGGCCATGTCGGTGCGTCCGAGGAGCGCAAGGCTTAGAGACCTGGCGGTTAGTATGCTTCTTCACCACCACCAAGATCATCCACATGTCATTCAGGGACTTGAGGTATAAGTACCTTACCTTACTAGATAGGTTGCGATAAGGTAGGTAGGCTAGTTACGAGCGAACATTGCTCCCCATGCTTTGAATAATCTCAGCCCTCCTTCGTCTTTCCGGTTCCAGCAGTGCTAGTCACTTCTCGGAAAGTTTACTTGGACTGGATCTTTTACACATGTGCCCAGGAGAGATGGCTGGTGTATTGTGCTGGTGACTTCACCGACGGCCGCGGGCCCATACCCCGGCCCCGGCGTCACCCCCGAGTGGGGCCGTAAATATTCCCGGGACGGGCTATTTCGTCCATAGCCTTGGCCACGGGCCACTTCTTCCCCTTCCCCCGTCTCCAAAAACACCAGAAGCCCCCCGACCCCCCGAATCCACAGCTTCCCTGCCTCAGGTCCTAGAATGGCCCCCGAAACGAGGGCGCGAGCCTCACGCCGTGTCCGAATGCTACGTTATCTCCTCCCCAAGACGGGAAGATCTTTACATAGAAACAAGTCTCCTCCAATGCTCCCCCTTTGTTGCACCGCAAGGACCGTTTCGCAGAGGCCAGCGCATCCAAACCGCCAAGAAGATAGATTGCTTCCAAACCTTGTGGATCAGCAACGCATCCCCCCCCCAATAAAAAAAAGGCCCCCCACGCTCGCGGTGACATTTTTTAGGTACTCAGTGTTTGGGGCCCCAATTGTCTTGGTGGCTCGAACAATAAGTCAGCTTGGCGTGGAACCTCACGAATCGGCTGCTGTTCCGGGGGGGCCATGATCAGTGGTTGTAGCGTCTTTTCTGCCATCGCGCTTCAGCTTAGGTTCAATCCACCGGCTGTAACCCGTACGGACGGACTACCGTGCACTAAACGCTTGCTACCATTTCGATATATCATCAGACAAGGAGGCAGACACGCAGATCAAAGTTGGGACGACAAGCGGCCGGCATTGCACATCTTTTCGTCCCCGTCCAATCTTGGCGCGTGTCGGAGGGCCGGGCCCGGCCCGCCCGCCACTCGAGTTTGCCTGCTTACCCACGTTGCCTTGCCCCCGTTCCGCATCTCAGGTACCGTGGAAGCAAGCCCCTTCTTCGACTTGCAAACTGCGTGCTTCCTTTCAGCATCTCTGCGCTCGTTCAAGAGGCTCCTTGGAATAGAAACCCAAGTGCCAGGTAAGAGGCCACATGTCAATGGGCACCAGCACATGTCTGGACAAGCAAGCAAGCAGGCACATAACTCGTCTCATCATCCTCTGTGACGTCAACAGAGGCTCATATTGTATCACCCACGGGAAATCCGTAGAGTCGTCGCCCTCTCTCTCTCTCTCTCTCTCTCTCTCTCTCTTCTTTCTCTTCTCTCTCTTCTCTCTCTCGTCTATGGTGGCCTTGGTGCCGAACCGCAACTCGACTCAGTCGCAATTGTATCGAGTTGAAGCCCAAGGGCTTTCCAGAAGCGGTAATTGCGAAGCAGGGTTGAAGGCTCGGCAGGCCTGCCAAGGGCGGTCACATGCCAGATGCAACGGGCCCCGTCGATCTTCCTTCTTGTCCCACCCGCGGCCACCTAACCCTTTTTTTGCTTCTTGCATTTATTTACCTGACAACTAGTGACAAGTGACCAGCGTGTCGGAGATTGAGCGAAAAGCCGGCAAACAAAACCAAAGGTGCTGGTAAAAAAGACGTGCGTGTGCGTACTGCGAAAGGGTAAGGTAGATGGGCGCGCGTCCCAAACACTCCAGCCAGAACGAAAGATGTAGTGGTGGTGTAGAGCAAGGTAAAACCCCCGACTTGGTCACGCAAGATAAGAGCTTGACTCGCAGATGGGCGAACCGCGGATATGACGTCTGCATAAGTGCCAGAGTCGTCTCCGAAACTCTCTCAGTTGTATCTGGCACTCTACAGGACCCCTCCCATTGGAGTTTGCGAACCAAGTCCGAGTCTCTTGCGCGACTGCGATTAAACTCCAGCTGCCAGCAACCTCCCCTCCCCCCCCCCTTTCACGGAGAAACTCTAGACTAGACAAGACTTTAATACAACCCTCTCTATCCACGCACAAGTTACACGTCATAATTACACCCACAACAACACCAAGCAAATAGCATATCGTGAAATTTGAGAAGAATCAAAGAGAGAGATAGAGGGAAAACTAGTCTTGAAACCATCGAACCCGCTCAGCCTCGGCATAGACTAGAAATCAACGCACCCCGGTCGTGATACCCAGTCTCTACCCCACGTGCGTCTCGTCGAAAGCAGTTGTCTCCCCCGCCTACTTACCAGGTAATCTTGAATCGAACCCTCGGTGCAGCAGCAAGCCAGTCCCTCCCCCTCCATTCCACTCGCCATCTTTCTCGTCCTGACAACACAGCCCAAGTACCAACAGGCAGAAACACTCGATAGCAACAACGTTTGCGTTGCGTGGAATGACAGCGAACGAACAAAACGCAAGCGTCGCGAAAGTCGCAAAAAAATTAAATTCAAGGCAAAATCGTTCCGGCTTACTCCAATCAGCAACATCACCCCACACCCTTTTGAAGGGGGTTGACAATGAGTTGTCTCTGTGTCTCCGTGTCTCTCCTTGTCCCCCCCAACCCCTCCTCCCCAGACTTGTGTGTGTTTTTTAATTTTTTTTTTAATTTTTTTTTACACGATCAGCAATCACCTCAGCTCCCAATCCGCCAGCCCGGATTAACAAGACACGACGCGTTCTACGGCATTCCGCGCCCAACTCTCTCTCTCTCTCTCTCTCTCTCTCTCCCCCCCCCCCCAGTCAGTCAGTCTTATCCCACTTTGATCAGCGGGGTGGACGGTTTAGCATGTCAGATCATTGCATGAAGCCGGCCCACATCACAGAAGCTTGGTCTTACCGTCTTGCTCATTTGCCCTCCCCTCTTTGCTGGTGCTCTCTCTCTCTCCCACTCTTTCTCTTCTCTGTCTGCAAACTTGTAAGTGCCCGTAAAATACAGGCAGGTTGCAATAACTGTATTTCCAAGCAACCTTCCGCGAGCAGCAGGGAAAGCACAAAGTCTCGGAGAGTTTGGGTCCCCCGAGTTCTTGACAGCTCTACCTACCTAGCCTATTGCCATCCCCCCCCCCCCCCATCCCCAATATCGCTCTCGCTCCCGTCCTGCTGCTGTCGTCGTCGCTTCTCAAGTCCCTCCTTCCCTTGATCCGCGTAGCCCGGCAATGTGTGATGTACTCGTAGGCTCCCGAGAATGTGGCACAGCCCGAAGGAGACTGATGTGATGTGCCAACCAACCACACCACCACCACCACCACCACCTTGCATGCCGATTTTTTTCTTCATCCGCTTGTTGCCGACTTGTGTGCCTAGTAAGAGACCGGACCGGTCGAAGTGGCTTTTTGGTATCGTACCAGACTCACATCATAGGATTCTCAGCACATGCAGACATCACAAATATTCATACGATCAAAAGTAAGTAGTGCCGTCGAGAACTCCAATTTGGTATTTTTTTTTTCTCCTGTGATGAAAAAGACGAGACCTGTTTTTTCATCTTTCTGATTTGGTTCCTTTGTCCCATTCCCGTTTCCCCCAAGACTCTATGATAAACGACCCAAGAGACAATCTGCCCTTACTTTCTTCAGGTGATGTACTCGATGATTTCGCGCCCTTGATGATGTTAAAAAGAAAAGATCCAGCGCCTATCGCTCATCCTCCTTGAGCTTCCCGGCTCGTCTAATCGCTTGTTTTTTGGGCACAAACTGCCTTGTGGTTTCCTGCACCCTTTGGTATCCAGACTTGAATGGCGTGATGGCAAAATTCATGACTTGGGCTTGCTTCAATGATGTAAAAGAAAACAATTCAAAAAACAGGAGAAAATCGGCATCAAATCTAGCCCAGGAGAGCAGGGTGCCAGTCAGACTTGTGCTCGTCGGGGTGCTCGCCGTAGTGAACGGGACCAAGCTTGAGGAAGCGAAGGCCGGTGGCGGCGCCGCCCTCCTTGCTGCCGTCGCTGCTCATGCTCGAGGTGCGGCGCTTGAGGGGCGCCGGCTCGGCGGCGGTCTGTTGCTGTTTTCTGAAGGGGTAGGAGGACGAAGTGGTGGGGGCGAGGGAGAGGAAGACGGAGTTGTCGACGGGAGAAGACATTTTGTGGTTTGGTTTGGTTTTTGGTGTGGGTTGGTTTTGGTTGTGAGAGTTGGCAATCGGCTTGTGGGAAAACAGATCAACTGCTTTAAAAAAAAAAAAGAGATTGAGACTTTGTTGGAGATGAGACGGTCGGTTGAGTCAAGGAAGGATGAGAGCGTTGGGATACAGATAGAGGGGGATGTGAAGGAGGAAGGGGGAGACGGCCGTCCAACTTTATAAGTTTGGATGTTCGGAGGATACGGGAGGGGAGGAGCTTGGCTGACCTGGTCGCAGACCACCACCACCACCACCACGGGCAAATGCCAGAGTCGAAGGTAAGGTGACAGGTAGGTAGCTTGCCGGTCACACGGTGGGTTGGTGCCGTCTCAAGCCGGGTTGCTCACAAAGAAAAAGGTTGATACTGGGGGTCCTCGGTCGCAGATGGCACTGGGGGGGGGGGGGGGGGGGGGCAGGGGAGAAGGGGGACCGGGAAGGGGAGACATGGACATGGACATGGAGGGAGGGGGAGGGGCAATATCGCACGCTGCCTATCGTACTTCTGTCGAGAAATGAGGAATTGTGTACTGCGTATGGCGCGCGTCGCACCGAGGGTGCATCTCCCGGATCAGCCGTCTGGGCAAAAGGGCGAATGTGTTTGGACGACGCAGGCTCAGACACAGACGCAGAGACACATGTTACGGTAACGCCATCGTTAGAGGAGAGCGTGATTGAGATTGGGGTGAGTGAAAAAGTCACAGGTCCAGAACAGGCATTGCACAAAATAGACAATGCCGGGATCTGGCGTTTCCAGAGACACTCCATTGGAAAAAGCCATGACACATGCACGGGCAAAATGATGTGCTATTGCTATCTCCGTATCTGTTGTTCAGAAGTTGCGCTTGTTCTCGACTCTTGGAGAGCCTCTTTGCGGTGGGTATCAACAACCTACCTTAGGGTAACTACGAAAGGTAGCGAGTAAACTTGCGCGCGGGGCCGAAGATGGTGTTGTATTTTGGTTTCCAAAACATACTTTGCCAGCCAAGAGATCTATATTTTGATATGCTGAAGGGTGTTTCTATGCGAATTACTCCGCTTTCCACCTTATCGCGCTTGATTGTTCTGCAACAGATGGATGGGGGAATATCCGAGCGTCTCAACCACCTCACACCCGGGGGCGGGGGGGGGGGGGGGGGGGGGGGCGTATTGCGACTTTGCTCACGCTTTTAGATCAGAGAGATTCCAAACCGCCAAGAAGCATGAGATTTTCGGATTCGAGATATCATGTCCAGGTCCAGACAGAAGGAACACAAAATGGGACAAAAATAAAGAGGAAATACGGGCCTTCACGGTCTTCTACTGCGGTCGCTTCTGAAACCCTTATCAACCAAGTATCAAATCGGCCCTTGAGTTTTGCTATTTTATTTTGGTGGCTTTTCTGGAGAGACTTGACGTAGACCCAGACGGATCTATTCTGAACCTCTAAAGGTTCCAAAGCGGGAACGTTGTGCACGTGGGCCCGTAATTGGCTGAGCTCCATGTCGCGACATCAGCGCTGGAGAATCTGTGATGAGAGAAATGCTCAAGTCCCTTCCTTATCCGCAGCTGACGCGGGGTTGGTGCGCTTGAGAAAACGCGAGACACCCGCCGCCGCGGCGAAAAAAGCAAACTTGCTGAAGGAAGAAATAAAGATAAATAAAGCAGAAAAGCGCAGGGGGTTGGTGCAGAGTGTGGATACTGAGTGGGCGTGGGGACAAGCGTGAAGTGCTTGCCGCAATGAAAGATGATGAAGTTTGGTTGTGAATGCCCTCCCCATCACCAGATCTGATATCAAGATACCTCGAAATGTCCGGGGAAAGTGGAGAACCTCGGTCGGCCCCAATTGAGGCTCTTTCCCATACTCCAACGTCGTTCGAAAAGTTTAAAAAAAGAAAAAAAAAAAAAAAAAAAAAAGGAAAAGGAAGCCGAACGGAAGGGGGCCAAGGTTGCTTGCCCCCGGGTGCCGGGGCGGCAGGTGGCTCCTCATTGGCCGCGTCGGGGACGGCAAGAGGATTTATCGGAAGGACCACGAGAACCGGCGCTGGGGCCTTCCCTTCCTTCCAAGTTCCATGGGCAACTGCTAACAACGAACGGAACGACCCAGACCACACCATCGCAAGAACAACCCGACCACAATTTTCCCAATCTCATGATCCGGGGAAAAGGAAACCTACATCACTGGAAGGGGTGCCTCTTCGGGTGCGACGCCGAGGTGGAGAAGGGGGAAAAACGCGGGGAACTCCGGGGACGTTCAACGCCGTGACTTTCCTCATCCTTCCGCATCCGCGAACCTTCGGCAACACCCTCTCCTTCCCCCGCATATGGTACCTACCTTAAGGTAAGTAACCAAGGTAAGGTAGGGACGAATACCTACACTACCTCAGTCTTCCTCTTGGCCTCGGTACAGGGTATCCAACCTCAGCATACCAAGGTAGATAGATACCTACACCTCAGCGCGTGCACGGCCGGGCAACAGTTTGCGGCAAAGTGGGACACCACGCCCCGAGTCTAGCCGGCCCGCTGCCCGCCGCCGTGCCACTGGCTTGACCCACCCGTTGGTTCCTGCTGTGCCCCGGCGGGAAAGCACACGCGCCGTACGTAGCACGGCAAGGCGCGGCGCGGCGCGGCGCGGCGCGGGATTTCCAAATCCTTTGGCTGTGTCTTTGTCTTTGCCCCTTCAGCCATGTGGCGTACTAGTTCGTAGGATTCAACGGGCATTTCGGGAGGGAACGAGGCAAAATCCTGAGATCGCCTTTGCTTGCATATTCTCTAAAACAGCGTTTTGATCCTTCCGCGGGGTGCAGTCCACTGAGTGCCTTGCTCATTGTTCGGTGTTGTTTCGCTCCCCGCAAATCAAGTTTGACTTCAACGTTTCTTCCTGGCAGTCTCGGTGATATTCTGATCCCGCTTGGGCAGACACGGACTTTTCGAAAAGAGGAAGAAGAGGAGGAGCAAAGAATGAAAAGGAAAAGGAGGGGAATAGGGAGGAAATGCTGAAGGGGAATGATACACAACGGCATCCTATCTTCTGGAAGATGACAGGAAACGAAACTGAGAAGTTTCCTACCATTTCTTGCCCGCCATCGACGAACAGACGTCACCTCGTTTGATTCACTCGCTCATCTTGTTTCGTTAGACTTTCTTTTTCACAATAAGGGGGACAAACACCGACGTATTTCAAACAAGACGCCTTTCTGGACAATGCCTTGTTCTCTGCTGCGTTCAAACGCAGCCTGGGTCTTGGAGACAAATATTATGCCGACGTTGGCCTCAGAGTCAGGCAAACCTTCCTCGGGCAACCCAATGCCTCGCTTTCCTTCCTCCTTTTCGTCTCTCTTCTCTCGCCTGGGCCGAAGGCCCTCTCACACCCTCTTCCGCTTCGCAAACCGTGTCCTTTCCCTCTTCGACCGCAGCTCAGGAAGGCAAATCATTTCCCCAAAAGGTCCAATCCGTTGCGCAATATCTTTCTGCAATCTCTGAGGGGGTGTTCCCACAAGGCTCGTCGTACCAGAGCAAGAGAGCCAGGATGCACCAAAGTCACCGGCCGTGACTCCGCTTCTCGATCGAGGTTCAAGCCAAGCCATCGAAGGTAGTTGGCGGAGGAGGGTGGTGAAGCCCGCCTCGTATGCGACCGGCGGGCCGCCCGCAGAACTCATCGTGAACCCTGGCGTGGAGGGGGAGGTGATTGCGGTGCGTGAGGTAGCACGGCATGGTCTGCGGTGGTGTGTATGGCGTGTATGGCGTGTGCAAGAAGCGGTGATGGGAGGGAGGCATCGAGACGTTGCATGAGAAGAGCAAGTGTTGCAACCAACACGAGGAGGCATCTCACTGCCTGCTGCTGCTTTCCCCCTCGAATCTTCGTCACAAATGCGCCGCAGTCCGGGTGATTCCAACTTGCATTAGTGGACACATGATGCGAAAGTTGCTTGTGGATGGCCAAAGTACTGTACGAAGAAAGGGACTTCGCAAGAATCGTCCCAGGGTATGGTGGCAGTCCAGCTATCTTTCCGCTCTTAGAAGGTGTGTGGAAACCTTCGTCAGGGGGAGAGGTATATCCATTCGTGGGCTGTGATGAATGATATCCACCCTTGATCAAGGTTAGTACCATGTTGATGTGGTCTTGGTACGGATAGGGGGCAGGAGAATCGAGGTAATTTCCATCGGAATCAACGGCCCATAGAACGTTTCTTACCGCTACAACTTCCGCAGTCCGTCTCCTACGGAAAGGTCGTTCCGCATATGCTTCTCAACGCTAGGCTCCTGGTGCCTAGCTCATGGCATTCGGTTGGTGACGGGCACCGACGAGGTGCAGATGTCATCTGAGCCATGCCCGCATGCCTGGTCAAGACCTACGGAGTCCTTGACCTTTCCTGATCTTTCCTGATCTTCCCTCCATCTTGTCCTGTCGAGGAGACTAACACCCAAGCACCCCTGTCGAGTGACCGCTTTCGAAGTATTGCGTTGCAACTTGACCGTCCGCAGCAGTGGGAAGGGTACGCTTTCCGCGTGAGATTCGCCGGTGCCACTGGCAAGAAGTTGAAAAATGGTCGATTCTTGCGGCAAAAAAGCGTATGAGTCTGGCCGAACGCTATTGAACTTGAGCCGCCGTCGTGGGCGGCTACCGGAAGAATGAGTGGTCGTCGGTCGAGTCGGGCCAAGCCGCGAGTCCCACGAAGCGCTTATAACAGGAGGGTTCGAAATCGTGATTGGCTGGCATGCGACTCAATCACACCTCGCCCGCTTCGTCGAGGGACAGTCCAACAACAACATCTGCGCCATGCTCGACTTCGTGGGGCATTCTGCTTATTTTCCCGCGATGAACCTGTTGGAACGGTCGACAAGGGCGCCTGATGGTGCCCTCTTGCTCTCATACCGCGACAATGTCCTAGTTGGTTGCGAATGGCGGCACCTGCAATCATAGACGAGCTCTGCCCAGCCGCCACCTGCATGCTCACTCGCGCAGGGATGTTGGCACCGCTTGCCAACACTCAACTCGATACAAGTCTTGAATGAGGCCTGACAAAAAGTATATGCAGATGTGCAATAATTCGCGAACCTACCCCTGTAGCTGCTCCTCAAGTCCTAAAGAAGAAGTTGCGACGCTCGACCATGAAGTGATGGGATGACATCTTGCCCTTTCCTGATGTAGTCAAGGACGTGAGAGATATGCGTGTCGAAGGCACCGGCACTCGGTTGTCAAGTCGTCCCGATGTCCGTCTCATGGCCTGGCAATGACAAATGCGTGCCTCTTGTCCAAAGGAGTGCAAGCTGGAAGTATTTGAGTTGATGCAGAAACTTCTTCAGTGAGATGTCAACTTCCCGTCAAGATGACCCGCAGCTTACCAGGCCTCAAACCCGTCATCCAGATTACATAACAAACAAGTCCAAATGTAGCGGCCAACCGGACAGGGTTTAGTCCGAATATGAGCTCGTCGGGCTGCGACGAGTTTCTGGGATATGAGAGAGAGAGAGAGAGAGAGAGCTCCTGGCCTGAGATGTCATATTTCTAGGTGGACATTAAAAGGGGGGACGAGGTCTGCTTCGCCGCCTTGGAATCGGTGTATCTGGACTGACCACTTGGCTTCCCACAAGTGACAGTCCCAATGGGGAAGTTTCCTTGGCTCAATAGGAAGACGGCAATCCGTCGAACATTGATGGAAGTGAGGCGACCGGGACCAGGGGGGGTGCGGTACCCCATTGTTCGGGATGATTGGCAGACCAGATGGCTATGTGAGGTGTGCTGCGGGCACAAGGAGTGTTGGGGTGTTCGAAGAAGCTTGCCTAGTCAGACTGTCGGTAATGATAGGCCGCACGCGAGGCCGCATGAAGGCACTGCGGTGTGTGTTGGAATCCTGTACAGCCCAGTGGTAAGGTATTAGCAAGTTGGGACCCCAGCACTTGAACCAATACACCACCACGACGGTGGGCCAGAAGGTCTTGCTCAGGGCTCAGACAGAGATGATGGAGTTAGTATTACAGATACATGACATCTGCGAGATTGTGGCTCCTCTTCATCAGCGATGGTTTGCTAAGATGTTCGCCTCCAGACCACGAAGGAGACTAAGTGGACGAACGCACCCCCTCACCTCGGTCTGCCCGGGACGCAGGAGCAGGCATTAATGGTTCGATTTACGAGAAAGAGGGTGTGGCTTGCAGCGTCGAGGTACTTTGCCGGCTCGGACTTGGAGGTGGGAGGCGCCACCGTTGCGACTATTTCGCATTGTGCCTTAGGGTGAGACGCCGTTGACGATGAGGATCTGTTGCATCAGCACGCCACGCCGATGAAGAGTCCCTTGACGTTTTCCGAAAAGCGCAGAAGACGGATGAGTCACGAGGTATGATGGTGTGTATGATTCTTGCAAGCCACGTTTGACAAAAAAAAAAAAAAGAAAAAAAAAAGGGGGCCGTTGGCATCGGAAACGGAGCGAAGACTGCTCGAATAGCCGTCAAGCCCTACGGCAAGCTTGTCTTTTGCAGGCCGAGTGGACAGTCGACACTGCACCAACGGCCGTATTGTAGTAGCTAGCTCCAAGCCAGCAGGGCAATTGATGAGGGTTAGACTCCTCGAAGAACACTGAAGGATAAGTCGAGGCAGCCTAGCCTACGGAGAGCGAGTTGGTCAATTTAGCATACGGACGTATGTCAAGATACACTAAAGTAGCGTATAGCTAATCCGACTAGCTGGAGACTTTGGTGCGATGACTTCAACTAGATGGTCGAGCTCTTGATCTCAAAAAGGTTAAGTTGTTCCCTAGCCTTCTTTATTTGATGGTGGCTTGCATTCTCCGACGCAAGAAACTTACACAATTCTCAACCGCCTCAAACACAAAGAGAAAAGAGCAGGATACGTACCTTTTTTTTTTTTTTTTGCCAAATTCAACGACAAGCCATGAAGAAGAAGCTGAGGACGGAGGAAAGATTGAAATCGGGAGAGGAAAGGGGCAGAGAAGCAAGGGGGAAACGCGAGAGAGTCTGGTCTAGGGGACCGTCCTGTTTTTACAATTTTGCTGTCGTTAAATCGTCATGAACATGATGGTCCGTCTAGGGTTAGCACGAGCATACGGATACGTCTTGGTGGAAGGGATGGTGCCGCCTACCAACCTTTATTACTCCACGTTGACCCCGTTCCGCCTGAGGAACCCTATGCCTATCTATCCCTGGACCCGAACCTGAACCTGGACCTGGACATGGACTCGGATGAAGCAGGGTTGGCAATCTGGCCAGGGACATTGATGCGGATATCGATGAGTACGTCGACCGACAGCCCCGATCGACCTTCTACTCACTGCTTTGGTCTCTGCTTATTTGGTCAAATTTTCGATGTAGCCAGACGGGAGCATAATCAAACACTTCGCTTGGGAGCGGCCGTTTTTCGACTGCAACTTTTCCATGACGCTGCCGTCTGGCCCGCTGCCCCATCAGCATGCTTGCTATGACCCCCAACTAGCACTCTCCGCCGTTCCAACTCGGAGCGGAGGAGCATCTCAGTGGCTTTACGCCTGTCTGTGGTGCGGCTCCGTCATTGCATAGGGGTGCTCGTGCCTGGAAGAGTCGATGTTCAATCTAACGTCTTCCTTGCTGTAGCATTGGCCCCAGTGGGCTAGAATAACTCCGGCAGGGAGAGTCAAATCCGCGAGCGGTCTACCTGTTCACCACACGAATACAAGCAAAGTAAAGTGCCAAGAGAGTCGGCAGCGCACTGAGGAATAGACAGAAGATAGCTCTGACGGGTACAAAGGACGCCATCAACGGAACGGTCCTGCCCAAACTAGACTAATAAACAGGGCTTGACGCGGATCGCTCATGTGCGACATCGTCTGAACGATCCACTCAACACAGCGGCCCATCTCTACGCTTGACAGTAACGTCGGTTTGCGACGCACTAAGAACTGCCCACGAGGGGTCTCCCGACACCATCAGTTCGAGGACAATCACAACTCAAGACAGGGACATGGGTCACCCATTCTTTGTAGGCACTTATGCTTGCCCTACGCTGAGGGAGCTGACCATACGGCACGGCACCAGTAGGCCCTGCACAGAGCATACATACTGCTGGTCGCTGCTGCCACGCCAAGCTATCTCCGGTCGAAGTGGCCGTCGTTCTGTGTTCCCACGTTCCCCAATAGAAAGTGCGGCCAGTGGGCGCCATGCGGCAATGGGAACACACGAGAGGTGCACCTACCTGCCCTAC